CACTTGCCCGTCGAGCTCGAGCATAAGGCGTACTGGGCTATCAAGAAGATGAACTTTGATCTAAAAACTGTTGGAGAGAAGCGCCTGTTGCAACTGAATGAGCTAGACGAGATTCGGCTTAATGCCTATGAAAATGCCCGGATTTATAAGGAGAAAACCAAGAAGTGGCACGATCACCACATACTGAGAAGAGAGTTCAAGGTGGGAGAGAAGGTATTACTTTTCAACTCACGCCTTAAACTCTTCCCTGGAAAATTAAAGTCAAGGTGGTCCGGACCATTTACGGTGACCAAAGTGTACCCACATGGTGCAATCGAGATTCTTGGTGATCAAGGGGCGTTTAAGGTGAATGGTCAGAGGCTCAAGCACTATATTGAAGGGGTTTCCATCTTGGAAATCTCAACATATCATCTGGAATGAGCTATTTTACGTCAAGCTAACGACGCAAAACAAGCGCTTCTTGGGAGGCAACCCAAGGTGAGTTTTTCTTTCAATTTTTTTTCATTTTTTAGTTTTAGGGTGTGTCTAGAGGCTCTCCGCCAAAATTCAGCTCAAAAAGCCTTGAGGAAGGTATTATTTGGTGTTTTGTAGGTACACGGGCAGGCTGTTTTTTGCACAGGGAGGCCGCAAAATGAGCACAGGCAAACCGCAAATGTGGGGGGAGGACTAATCTGAAAGTTTTGGGGGGGGGGAGGACTGATCTGACATTTTTGAAAAGGAAGGGGGGACTGAAAGGGAGAAATCCCGTTTAAAAAAAAAAAAAAAAAACAGCCACGCAGAGTTTCAGATTCGGAATTAAAAAAAAAAAAATTGCAAAAACAAAGTCGGGGGCTCCCCTTCCCCTTCCCCTTCCTTTCCTCCCCTCCTCCCCGTCGGACTCCCCCCCAGCAGCAACTGGCGCCGCCCCAGTCCGCCAAGCGCCGGCGACCACTCCCCCCACCGCCGACCTTCCGCCGCGCCGCGCGCCGCCCCTTCTCCGCCGGCGACCAGCAACCGACCCTCGCCCCACGTCGCCATTGGCGCCTCGACGACCAGCAACAACCACCCAAGCCCCGCGCCGCCACCACGCCAAACCGCCGCGAGGCCGTCTCCGGCGGTCTTCACCGTACCCAGCGACTCCAACCCGCTCCAATCACCCCCATTCTCCCCAGAATTTGGGGATTTCCTGATTGTGATAGCAGTGAACTGGAATTTGGGCCACAGAGTACAGATTTGTGAAACCTTGGTGGTTCAAGAGCAGAGTGGTGGTTTGAGAAGTTTGTTTTCCAGTTTGCACTCTTGGTTGCAAATATGGGACGTCGAAGATATATCCCTCCACCAAGGCGGTTCAAGGTAACAGATCAAAGTGAAGATGGGAAGATTGTTTACCGATCGTGGATGATTGAAGACAGTCACAAGGTGACCGATAAAGACAGCCCAATTCCAGAAGTTCCTCCACAACTTCAAGCGGTCAACATGCCCGCTCGATTTCACAGGGTGATCACCGGCCAAGTTGGACCCACGATGCGGTCCCGGACTATTGAGATGACTTCTCCAACTCCATCTCCACCACAGCAGCCTGCTCAAATGCCTACTGAAGAACCTCCATTACCAGATTCAACACCAGTTGTATCACCGGAGAGCAGGCCAGCGAAGAGGAGTCGTCTCCAGCAATCGAGCTCATCTTCACGATCACAGATGTCTTCTTCTTCAGCACCTGCACCATCCACGACACCACGTCGTACTGGCCTAAGTGCAAGCAAGAAGAAGGCTGGCACTCCTCCTCCAAAGGACGTCTCTAAGACGTTCGGTCAACCTGTCCAGCTCCAGAAACATAAGGAAGAATATGTCGATCTGATGAAACGAGCGGTCACCCCTTCTCAGTTCATGGACTATGCAGCATTGCAGAAGATCGAGCGGGCTGAGGAGGTGATGACATACTTCCGCCGGATGAATTGGGCACGATTTCCGGAGCTGCATTTCCCCACCTATCCACACCTCACCAGAGCATTCTTGGCCACATACAGCTTCGAGGATAATGGGGTTGAGAGCAAGCTTCAGAGTACTTTGGCCGGGAAAACCAAGTCCCTCTCTTTGAGCCAAGTAAACCGAGCACTTCTCTTCGATGGTCCAGCAGATGCAATTCCTGATGAAAAGCAGGACTTGAGTGAGTTTTGGACGACAATTGTGGCAGATGGAAAGGACTTCAATCCTACTTCTTCGAGGAGAGCATCGATCAGAGACCCGATAATCCCACTAGTACATGACTACCTGGCTCGCACTGTCTTGGGAAAGGGATCCAATGCCAGTGGTGTCTACACCACCGATCTCAGGTACATTCGCAGTTTCGTTACTGGAACACCATTGTGTGTTGGGTACATAGTGGGTAAGATGCTTGAAAATGATGCTTTGAAGACTTGCAGAGCAATTATGTGTGGGGGAATCATTACTGCCTTAGCTCGAGCTTACTGGGGGTTCCCGGAGAACCCTACGGGTTTAGAGATCAATGATGGCTCGACTCTACTTGGGGAAGCAACATTAGGCAAATTGGGTTTTCTGAGGAAAGTAGGATCTCGTGGAGAGTATCTATCTATCGCAAAATACAAGGAGTGGGAGACCAAGGTCAATCGGAAAAGGGAAGCAAGGGCTGCTAGAGCAACTTCTGCTTCGGCATCATCAGCCGCACCATCAGTAGCCACTCCGACCACAGCTCCAGCTCCTACACCCACAGCAGCGTGGCACTCGGACTCGAGTGTCAGCCAGGGCCAGCAGTCCCATCCTACTCCAGTTCCGCATCCAAAAGATACTCCACCAGTTGTACCAGCTTCACCATCATCTACAGACGAGCTCAGAGCCAGAATAGCTCTCTTGGAAGCCAGAGATGCAGAGAAAGATAAGAAGATCCAGGAGCTAAACCGGCGTCTAGATGAGCAGCTCGGCACTTCTGCATCGCCCCCTCCTTCATAGGAGCTTGTCCCGAGGTTCTTTTTCTTCTTTTCTTCTTTTCTTTGTGAATACTTCTGATGATGGTCTGTAGGGCTGCAAACGAGCCAAGCTACTCGCGAGCAACTCGAGGCTCAGTTCGATAAAAACTCGTTCGACACTCGACTCGATTCTTAATGAGCTGTCTCGTGAGCCGGCTCATTTATTAATGAGCCAAGCACGAGCCAAGGCATCTGCAACTCGAGCAGGCTCGCAAGCTAGCTCGGATCGATGCTCGTTGAGCTAAGCTCGCGAGCTGACTCGTTTGAAGCTCGCAAGCTGACTCGATAGTGTGACTCGCGTGTTAGCTCACACAAGGTAGCTCTCTTGCTAATGTGGCTGACGAGTCAATTTAAGTTCACTAGTCAACTTTACTGTGTGACTCGCAAGGAAATTCGATAAGCTGCTTTGTACAGAGCTCCTATGTTGGCCTACTACTAGTCATTTAACTCATAGGTTGGTTAGACACTTGGACTACATATATCTCAATTTAATGTGGCTTGATATTTTGTATACGCGGTGGCCAAATAGTTGTTGCATATATTTTGTAATATAAATAAATAAATTATAGATTGATTTAATACAAATTACTCTTTAATTATATGAATTAATGATACAATATCCACATAGGCGATTTATTGTCTTTGAGTTACACTACACACATCATCACATATTGTAGTTGTTGCTCTGACTTTGCTTTTCTAAATGAACTGTTGGTATGACTTTTTTAAAATGGACTGTTGCTATGATTTGAAGTTGAATTAGCTATCGTTGAATGGAAGTTAAGGGGGTCTCGTTATTAAATCTTATTAACAAACCACGTAAATCTGTGTATTCTTTTATTTCTTGCATGTTTGATTTCCCGATCCATTCTAAGCATTGCTATTACTTAAAATATGACTATCTAAGTATGGTTTAGTTGTTTAAGGTTGAGGTTAGCGTATAGACTTTCAACATTATTATTTTAGTTGTTTTAGGTAAGTGGTTAGCATTTTGATGTTAGGGTTAGGGTTACGTTTATACATTGTTTATATCACATAAATGTTTCACCTTTCAATGAAAAATATTATATAAAAATTAGAATAGCATAAAGGGTTTGTTATTTTATTACCTTTACCAAAAAGAAAGAGATTTTGTTTGACTTTTGGAAATAAGATAAGTGATTAAAGAATTTTAAATCATATAAATATTTTACTTTTCAATGAAAATATTATATAACAATTAGTAGGCTTATTATTTTATCACCTTTACCAAATAAAAAAGAGATTATGTTGACTTCTTCTAGAAACAAAAAACGATTAAACTACCCAAAGAAGCTTTTCGGCTTCTCACAACTCACAAAGCTAGAAATCACAAAGCAACTTTTGACTCTCGTACACACCACCCACTAGCGATTGGGATTTTGGACTAGGGTTTCGGTTCTGGCTTGAGAGCACCTATGCTCCCCTTCTCGACATCGACAAGAAGGCCAAAGGTAAACATGCATCTCCGCAGCCCATACATCTCTGCTGCCAAAGTTTCATCTCTTTGTGTACTTGGGTCGTGACGCTCCTTCTTTCTTCTTTTTCTGTTTCCAGATTTTGCTCGCCTCGATAAGGATTATCCTTTCACCTAGAAGATTTCATCTCTACTTTCATTGAATCTGGAGTGGTTCGTTCATTTTACCTTCCTCATTCCTTATGTATTCGACTCTCATGCTTTTGCTTTACGCTCGTGGTTGGATATGAAATTGTCCGACTTCATTTCAGTTTGACTACGTTTTTTGTTGGTCAAGTATGTTGTCGTGCTCTAAATTTTGGCTTAATGGGTTATTATACTGGTTGTGGTTTGTATTTTGACCGAGTTTGTGTTGGATCCTGAATCAAAAAGCTGGATAGTGATCTTGTAACACTAAGAAGCATGAAGCGGATTAGTTTAGCTTCGTTATGATTGAATATGAGTTTGTATTATACTTTTGCTTAGATTCATTATGATTTACTTTAATTGAATAGAGGGGGTTCAATTTTCCCATTGACTGATGTATGGTATTTTGTCACAGAATGTCTGAAGCAATGTCTTCCAATCCGAATCCATCAATTGCCAGTTCTGTTTCTACTCCTGCAAATCCCGAGAATGCAACCCAAAATCCATCATCTGCTCAGAAAGAAAATGATGATGAAGAAAATCCATATTCAAGAAATGTGAGAAAGAAAACTTCAGCAGTTTGGGAAGGCTTCAAGAATGTGGAGACAGCTGGTGTCAAGAAGTACCAATGCATACATTGCAAGAGGAAATACAAAGCAGATCCCTCAGGGGTTACATCAACACTACGAAAGACACCTGAAACAATGTCCGAAGAATCCCATTGTCCTCATTGATAAAAGACAACAACAGTTAAGCCTCTCATCAACTCTTATACAAGCTGAAAGTGTTGCCTCCGTGCAGAATTTCAAATATGAGCAATCTAAGGTGCGTGAGATCATGGCACATTGTTTCATAGTGCATGATATGCCTTTTATCACTGCTGAATACGAGTTGTTTAACTTGTTGCTGAAAACTATCAGTCCACACTATCAGAAAATTAGTCGAACAACTATTCAGACGGATATTTTCAAAACTTTTGACATCCATAAAGCAAAGATAAAAACACTTCTTCAAGGTGTGACTAGGATGAGTTTGACTACTGATTTGTGGCAATCTGTTCAAACAGTGGGATATATGGTTGTTACATGTCACTTTGTTGATAATGATTTCAAGCTACAGAAGCGAATCCTTGATTTTTGTGATGTTCCGCCACCTCATAGTGGAGTTGCTATAGCTGATTCTTTGCATAAGTGTTTGGCTGATTGGGATATTGAGAAAAAAGTGTGGACAATCACCGTTGATAATGCTTCATACAACGATGTGGCTGTTCGAAATCTAAAAGAGACTCTTAGTTTCCAAGCTCAGATTCCTCTTGCTGGTGATATGTTTCATGTTAGATGCTGTGCTCATATAATTAACATTTTGGTGCAATGTGGACTAAAGAAGATTGGTCCAATAATTGATAATGTTCGACAAAGTGTTAAGTACATTGCTGCATCTGAGAGTCGAATCAATATGTTTCGAGATATTTCTAAACAATTGAAGTTGCCTACAAAGAAGCTTATTTTAGACTGTCCTACTCGATGGAATTCAACATATCACATGATTTCTGCTGCCCTTGATATGAAAGTAGCCTTTTCTCGGTTTGCTACAAGAGATTCTTCATATATTTGGTTGCCTTCAGAGGGACAGTGGAATATGGTTTCAGAGGTGTGTCACTTTCTAAAGCTATTCAATGATGTCACTCAATATATTTCTGGAAGTGAGTATCCAACTTCCAATTTATTTCTTCCTGAGCTTTGGGGAATCAAGAAGTCGTTAGATAAGACTATAACTTCAGAGAATGGTAGTATGCAGTCTATGGCTTCTGATATGTTGAACAAATTTGAGAAATATTGGGGGGAGCCTAACATGCTGATTTCAATTGCTGCTATTATGGACCCAAGAAACAAGTTTAAGATGCTTGAAGTGTATTTTCCTGATATTTACAATGGAGCTGAAGCTGTAAAGGGGCAGATTGCACTAGTTCGCGACAAGCTTTACCAACTCTTTCATGAGTATGTTGAAGAATACAAAGAGAAGAACATGGGGAACTCAATTGAAGATGAAAGTGGCACACTTCCCTCTTCTACTTCTGTTATGTCTTCTACTTCAAGTGGCACCGGGATGAAGAGAACGGGAAGGGCAATGTTTGACTCACTTATTCGAAATGTTGATTGTGTTACTACAACATTAAAATCTGAGTTGGATATTTATTTGGAGGATGGTCTTTACATTGATCCGGATGATTGCGACCTTAATGTTATTGAGTGGTGGAAGGAGCAACGTATGAGGTATAAGGTCTTGCCAAGGATGGCTTGTGATGTTTTGGCAATTCCTATAACCTCGGTTGCCTCGGAAGCTGCTTTTAGTGCCGGGGTAAGAGTGATTGATCCAAATCGTGCATCATTGGGGAAAAAAACTGTTCAAGCTCTACTTTGTTCTCAAGATTGGTTAAGAAACTATTATGGTTTGAAAAAGAATGTTAAGGTACTTTTTACTATATTTTTTAATTTCCAATTTATTCTTATAGTTTATTTGGTATAAATTTATCTTTTTTGTATCTTTGTAGGCTCTGACCAAGAAAGAGGAAGTTGTTGAAGTTGACTTGTCTTAATGAAGGTGTTTTGGTTAGTTTCTCTCGTTGTTCCTTTTCTGTGCTAACCTTTGTCGAATTCTTTAGTCCTTGCTTTCTCTTCTACCTCTCTCTTCTTGCTATGATGTAGTGTAGTAAGAAAAGTATTAATTATTTGGGGCTGTAATAAGAACAGCGTAATAAAAAATTCATGTCTTTCCTCTGTCTCTCACAATAGTTGTCCTTTATCTTTTTGTGGGTTGAATAATTGTTTTTTTTTCCAGCTTAAGCCTAAAATGGGTATGGGGCGAGGCTCACTGCAACTTTGTTGCACTTAATGTGTAATTGTTTGTTATCTTATTTTTGCTTTGATTATAATGTTCTCTATTACTTTCTTTTATTCAGGTGGTCATTTGCACGACGAAATTACATGCAGGCTGCAACATGTGTCGTTGCCTTCAAGATGTCTTTTGCTTATCTTGTTTTTCTTGGTGGTCTTTAAGAAACCCTTCGTATCTATGTTTTGGGTCTAGTTGTTAGTCATTTCCATGATTGTAACTTCACAGGAGACGGTAACATGTTATTTTGAAGACCCTATTAAGTAATCAATCATGGTTGTAATCAAACAGGTTGTAATTTGATATTAAATGTGTGAATGATTATATATTTTGTTAAAACTAGAGAAACTTTCAGGTTTGGTCAAGCCGAGCTTTGATCAAAAGCTTCAAAGGATTTTGGCTCGCTGATTTTGGCTTGTTGAGCTCATTTGCGAGCTAGAATCGAGTCGAGCTCGAGTCGAGCCCGAGCTCAAAATTTTCCTTTTGAGTCGAGCTTGAGCTTGAATTGTATAGCTCGTATCGAGTTCGAGCCGAGCCCGAGCTGAGTTATCCTCTCTCGAGTTCAAGCCCGAGCTGGGCAAAAGCTCGGCTCAACTCGGCTCGTTTGCAGCCCTAATGGTCTGTATAATGTTAGTTAGGTGAACCGATTGGTGTGTCGTGTGTAATTGTAGACATTGTGGACAATGTCCATCCTGAGTGTGGGGTGGATGGTCTGTGTTCTTGTCGTGTTTTGTGTTTTATGTCGAGTCGTAGTTGTCCACAGTGTCTCGTCTTGTGTTAAAAAAAATTTTCCATTAGGTTGTGCACAGGCAAACTGCATGCAGTTTGCCTGTGTAAAATTCAGGCTGCCTGTGTTAATCTAATGGCTAAAAAACACCTAAAAATCAGAAAAATTAAAAACAAAACCTTGTACTCTTGTGGTAACATGATGTAAATGACTGTGATGCGTGTGATATGAGTTTGTGCTTGAATGAAATCATCGAAATCACCCCACTAGTGTTGAATTGCATAGTTCTTCACAATGAGCTTGAATGTTTTGACTGACTTGATGTGCTTTGAATGAGCAAACTCTTTTAGCAACATTCTCTTTTGTGAGGATAGTGTAACGACTTTTGGTGAAGTAGTTAGGTGGAGAACATTGACCATTCGATATGTTTGGATACCGTGCTTACTTGCTTCAATTGTGAGCTTTGATTTGGCAATGAGTCTCTCTGTTTTGAATGTTTTATGATGGGGTGAACTGTATCTTTATAAAAGAAAAATCCTACCTGACAAGTAAAATATAAGAAAGTTGCCATAACAATTAAAGTGTGGGTAAAAATGCCAAAATCGTGTGAGGCAATCACTCATTGCACATGGGGATGAGGAAAGATTCAATTGAGAATCGGTTCGCGACCGTACGATGTTGCTTATCAAGTACGATCCCCAGTTGAGTGAAGTGCCATTTGAGGAGCAATGACCCTCCACACGGACCGAGGAAAAGGAGTTGAAAGAAGCCCTTATGCGAGTGCTAAGAAGCAGAAATTGCTCTTGCTCGGTCACCGGTAGTAAGAAAAAATCCCACTTGTACTAAATACGACCTCTCGGCAAGCAAAAGCAGAAAGAGAGAAAGCCTCTCCTTGTCATAAAAGGTAGTGATGTGCTTAAAGTTAAAATCATGTTTGCGAAAGGCTTCCCCCATTAGTTTTTGAGACTCATGCTTTGTTAATTGCTTATGATTGGTGTGAGTAAGCAAGATTGTCCTCACGAGATATGCACCTCACTGATGTGGTTAGATTCTCCTAATAACTGTTGCACCATAAGTTGTTAATCACCCGCTACCGACGATCGAAACTGATTGTTGCTATTTGAGTTTTTGATGTATTTGAGTCAGTCAATGGTAATGGTTGCAAAGAACTTGAGTGTGGGGTGAAAGGTATGATTATTAAAGCACAACTTGTCCGTTGAGAAAGAAACTACTGATTACAACAAGAGTACAAGGAAAATTTTGTTTTGTTTGAGTGTTTGATTAGTGAGTCTGTGGTGTGTCATTGTTTTGGATGATTATGTGTTTGTGTTGTTTGAGTCGTTGCTTAGGGACAAGCAACAATTGAGTGTGGGGTTGTGATATTCGGCTTTAATATATCGGATTCTTGGACTTTATGTGATATTCCGTGGTATGTTTTAGTCAATTGGTGCTATTTCAGGGCTCGCTAACCCGAAAATGGTTGAAAAATCATTACTGCCTAGTGCCATGAGTTTGATATGATGCAGGTGGAGAAAACACGAAAAAGAAGTTGCACCGGAAAACATTTCTCGAAAGTTGGGCTTAAAGCCCAACCGGATGGGGATTAATGACATGGGCCGCATGGAATTGGATTAATATGGAAGGCGGCTCTTTTGATTTCTGGGGGAATTAGCTCGTGGCCAAAAGAATGGGCCAAAGCCCATTTTCATGCCCTTTCTCCAGAACTGGCGGAACAGGAAGGGCATTAGTGGGCTGAATTCTCTTGGAAAAGGGAAATGGGTTGGAGAAAAGAATTAAGGGAACAGAGGCGGAATTAATTTTTGACAAGGAGAAGGGACGCATGGGCCGGGCGGAAGGATCTGGACAGAGGCCATTCGTGGAATTGATTTGGCAAAAGGGCGGCGGGCTTTATTTTTTGAGAGGAGGCCATGTGGGCCGGCTTTGCTGGGCCAATGAAGGAGAGGGCTGGGCGGATTTCTTTGGAAAAAGAGGAAAAGGAAAAAGGGAGTCTGGAGCAGGAGGTAATTAATTAGGCGGCGGGCAGAAGTCTGAAGGGGAGAGAAAAAGCAGCGGCTCACTTTTATTCTTTTGTTTTTGAGGGCGGCACTTTATTGTGTTGGGGACGAGAATTCTTTGGGAGGAGGCAACAGCGAAGAGCAGGCATCGAGCGAACAGGCGATTCTCAATCGACGATTGAGATTTCCAAGGCTTGAGCTGAGTTCAAGTAGAGCGATTAGTTGGTTGGATTTTCTAAACCGAATTAGTTGTTTCTTGTTGTTTTAGAACATGATGAACAAAACCCTATCGATTTATCTTAATTTCGTCATGAACTAAACCCCAATTTCTGGGGGAAACACCATAGGATGTAGCTATTTCTTGATTTGATGGATTGATTTATGATTCTTTTCTTCCAATCTCTATTGCATGAAATTTCTTAATGCTTTGTGTTGACTGGCCACCAATACAATGAATCGTAGTTGATTAGGTTATTAGCGACAGTGAGACCCTATTAACTGAACATATTTCATGTGACATAGTAACTTATCGAAGCGAAAGTGGATTAAATAAGGTGCTATGCGGTCTTAAATAGGATATCGATCTTCAGACTATATAGTTAATTCATTGAGCTACGACAGTAGGATTTGAATTGATTATTTAGTACGTAGTAATTCCCGACAGGGATAGCTAGCACATTCATGATATCCTGGCTGTAGAGGTATGGATTAAATTGATTGGAATATGTGAATTAATCTGGATAGGATAGGTAGTGAATCCCGGTGTTTCTCCCAGAGCTTCTCCCATTGAATTTCTCCCGACAAGTTTACTTTGCTTAATTAGTTTAATTATTTTTCTTTTAGAAATTAGTTTATATCTTAAACCATTTTCACTTATAGTTTGCTCATAAATTTGATAGAGTATAAGGTTGTACCAGTCCCTGAGAGACGATACCCGGACTTTCCGGTTTACTACGAGATAGGAATTGAAGCTATACGCTTTTGCCCTATCACTTCCTCATCAGGTGCTTCCTCAAGCCAGGATGGAGGTAGGTTTGCTTTTGCCAACTCTGTGGTTGTCAACACTTCTAAATGGATCATAGATAGTGGTGCTTCTGATCATGTGGTGTCTGATATTGCTTGTTTGCAATTGCCTACTGCTGTGTGTGATGTATTTGTGTCTCTACCAAATGTTTCTCGAGTGCCTGTTACACACGTAGGGTCAGTTAGGTTAAATGATCAATTGACTCTTAAGAAGGTTCTGTTAATTCCTCAATTTGGTTTTAATTTGATCTCGGTTAGCAAATTAAGCAAGGATTCGTCCTGTTCTGTGACATTTTTCAATGATCATTGCTTACTACAGGATCTGGCCTCCCGCAAGATGATTGGTATAGCTAGAGAGAGCGGTGGACTTTACTGTTTTTCAGCAAAAGTACACAACTCTGCTCCTCTGCCTCTACCAATATCTTCATCATGCCCAGATTCTTCTGCCTTTTCTGTTTTGTTTGATAAGACTATTCATGATTTTGATCTTTGGCACTTTCTCCTTGGCCATGTATCTTTGTCTCGTTTACAAACTTTAGCTTCTCGAATAAGTGGGATTGATTCCAAGTGTACAAAACATTGTTCTGTTTGTCCATTAGCCAAACAAAAACGTCTTCCTTTTATGGTAAGTGAGTCCCAAGCTGAGCATTTGTTTGATCTAGTGCATACAGATATTTGGGGTCCTTACAGTGTTCCTACTATTGATGGTCATCGTTATTTTTTAACCATCGTAGATGACTATTCTCGTAATACATGGGTATATCTTATGCATAAGAAGTCCAAAGCTCGTCCTTTAATTCAAAATTTTGTTGCTCATATTCAGAATCAGTATAATATTAGAGTGAAAACACTTAGGTTAGATAATGGTCAAGAGTTTCAGATACGTGCATTTTTGATTCTTTGGGAATTGTTCATCAGACAACTTGTGTAGAGTCTTCTCAGCAAAATGGTCGGGTGGAGCGCAAGCAGCAGCACATTATTTTTGTTGCTCGTGCTCTCATGTTTCATTCTTCACTTCATTCCAAGTTTTGGGGTCATGCTGTTTTACATGCCACTTATTTGATTAATCGTGTTCCTAGTCCAGTCTTAGGTAATAAATCACCCTATGAACTGCTCCATAATTCTGTACCTGACTATAGTGGTTTTCATGAATTTGGTTGCTTGGCTTATACATCTACACTATCTCATAACCGCCCCAAATTTGAACCAAGAGCAGATCCTTGTGTCTTCCTAGGATTTCCTTTTGCCACTAAAGGTTATAAGCTTTTAGCTACCAACTCTGTGTTTGAATCCCGAGATGTAGTTTTCCATGAGTCTATTTTCCCTTTCTTTTCTAAGAGTCAGAATCTGGACTCAGTTGAGTTTGCATTTCGTGTCATTCAAGTTCATCTATCTACTGCAGTTACACCTCATGGTGCCAATACAGTGGATGGTTAGCCTCTTCATTAAATCCCGACCAACATTTCACAGTCCCTACTCCTTCTCTATCTGAGGAGGATGATGGAGCCCCACCTCCTGAGTATCCTCCTGTTTTTGATAATGCACCAGCAGGTCGCCCAACTAGGAATAGACAACGACCTGCTCATTTGCAAGACTATGTTTGAAACTCTGCGGTTAACACATCTATCCCTTATCTTCTGTTATTTCTGATACTAACCTTACTAATGGTCATTCTAGTTTTGTTAATGCAGTCAGTTCTATTTCAAAACTGACTAGTTATCATGAGGCAACAAAGGATGAACGCTGGAATGCTGTTGTTAATACAGAACTGGATGCCCTCATCAGAACAAATACATGGACAATCGTCTTGCGTCCACCAGGTATCAAACCCATTGGGAACAAATGGGTTTTCAAGGTACAATTCCACCCTGATGGAACTATTGAGCGGTTTAAAGCTCGATTAGTTGCTAAATGGTACACTCGAACTGAAGGAATAGATTATTTAGACACTTTTTCACCTGTTGCCAAGTTAACAACTGTTAGGGTCTTGCTTGCTTTAGCTTCCATTAAAGGTTGGCATTTGCATCAATTAGATGTTAATAATGCTTTTTTGCATTATGAACTAGATGAGGATGTGTATATGAAAGTTCCTCTAGGATTAAAGCTTCCTCCTAATTTTGGTGATGTTGTATGCAAATTGAATAAATCTCTTTATGGCCTAAAACAAGCAAGTAAGCAGTGGAATCACAAGCTAAATGAGTTTCTTTTAAATGCTGGTTACCAACAATCAAAAGCTGATTACTCTCTGTTTACTAAACAAAAGGATGGGCAGTTTCTTGCTTTACTCGTTTATGTGGATGATATAATTTTGGCTGGTGACTATTTGTCTGAAATTGAGAATCTTAAGAAGGGATTAGATGCTGCTTTTAAGATCAAAGACTTAGGACATGTTAAATACTTTCTTGGCTTGGAAATTGCGCGCAAGTCCACTGGCATTTCTATTTGTCAACGCAAATATGTTCTAGATCTTTTATCTGACTCTGGATTGCTTGCTGCTAGACCTGTTAGTACACCTTGTAATCCAGGTGTAAGGTTGTCTAGTAAGTCGGGTGTCTTACATGATGATGCTTCTGTATATCGTCGATTGGTAGGTCGCTTATTATATCTATGTAACATGCGTCCAGATATAGCCTTTGCTGTACATCAGTTGACTCAATTTATGAGTGCCCCTACTGATGTACATTTACAAGCAGCTTATTGAGTATTGCACTATTTGAAAGGCAATCCTGGCCTTGGTCTCTTCTTACCTAGTACTTCAGAACTAACCATTAAGGCTTTTTCAGACAGCGATTGGACTGGCTGCCCGAACTCTCAGCGTTCCACAACAGGTTTTTGTGTTTTCTTAGGCAAATCATTAATTGCTTGGCGTTCTAAGAAACAGAAAACCATTTCTAGGTCTTCCACTGAGGCTGAATATAGGGCAATGGCAGACCTTACTTGTGAAATCCAATGGTTGACTTATCTGTTTGCTGCTTTGGGTGTTCATTTTTCTGCACCTAGTGTCTTATATTCCGATAGTCAATCTGCTATTCGCATTGCTGAAAATCCAGTTGCACACGAGCGTACCAAGCATATAGAATTAGATTGCCATTTGACTTGTGATAAGATAGCTTCGGGTTTAATAAAAGTGATGCAAATTTCCACTTCTAACCAAGTTGCTGATCTTTTTACCAAGTCCTTGACTACTGCAGTGTTCTCTGTTTTGCAGGCCAAGCTGGGCACTCTTGACATTCATGCTCCAGCTTGAGGGGGGGGGGGGGTGTTGGACTATATTGTAAATTGTAAATAGTTTAGGACCATATGTAATATTTGTTTATGTTTGTATATTGTTTTGTTATTTGCTAGCTGGAACTTGTATATATTGTAAATCTGAACAATGTAAATTTCACCTTTTATGAAATAAAACAAGTAGACTCGTTCTCTCATCAAGATGTTGGCCATTATGACGGCAGTACATATGTGGCAACCTTATTTTATGGGTTTATAATAAACACCCAGGGGGTGTTTTTGTTTAGAATGCGCAGCTAACAATTCAATCGACTAATCAATTGAACTCGAATCAAGATCGAAGCGTTCTTAATACAAACTTGGATAAAACGGAATCAAAAGTGCAATTCCACACCTGGGGAAAGGCTCGATTGATATAAGGATAGATGCCCGACCACGATGAACGCGTTCTTGATCAATACAAGAGCTCAATGAGTTTGGAATCCACCAAACTCAATACAAGTATGCAAACTTGCAAAAACCTAACCGTTTCAATTCAATTCATCAAAGTTTGTCTTTTACAACGAAAATAAAAGGCTATTTATAGCCAAGAAAACCTAATACAAACCTAAATGAACAAGGAAACAAATAAAGTAAAATTCTGCTCTTAAAAGGTTACAAAATTTGGCCACAAACTCTCTTTCTTCAAGCACAAGTAACCTGCCAACAAACAGTCCAAAAATAGCTTTCGGACTAACTTCTTGTCTTTCGTTCGAGGCCTTCTAGATCTTCAATCTTTCATCCAGTTCCTTCCATTTGTATGAAAACATACCTAGTTTTATGTTGTGGAAGCCTTTGAACTTGAATTAGATCCATGATCCTCGAATTGAGCTCTAAAGTGGGGTTCACAAATCAGTTTTCTGCTTTAGCCATTTCGGGCAGTTTTTAGCTTTTCATATGGCAAATTTGGACGTCTGGAAAATGACCTTCTGAACCTTTCCTTGAGCCACCAAGCATACCATCGTGTAGATAAAGTTCTTATCTTCAAAATAAGCTATCAAACTTGAATTTTCATCGAACCAATTAAGAGAATCGAGCCTACAAAGTTGGCTACCTGAAACATGAAAAATACTTGGCCAAAAATTAATGTTCTTTAGGCAGCTTGAGTTTGCTTCTTCATCGAGTAATTCTAGCTTGTAAATTGGCCTATTTGGGATCATACCAGTTTATTATTATGTTCTTATTAAGTTTCCTTGTTAGCTTCGGATTCGGTTATGTCTTTGTTGTAAATATTCGGCTATGAGTAATAAGAGGATTATTATGATGGAAAACCCAAATCAACTTAGTTAATGTCTTCTCTTCGTTCTTACTCTCTACGAAACCCTACGACGAAGTTATGTGGAGAAGTCCACGTAACATTACGTTTGTTAATTTTACATAGTAGAGGGGTACAAAATGCTATTAACCCTTATTTTATTAGTATATTTTTAAGTACAAATATTGATGTTATTTGTTGGATTCAAGTACAAATATATAGGTATTGACGTTAAATGTCCTGTTTAAATATAAGTATTTGTAAATTATTTGTAATATTAACCGGCATGAACCGACACAAACCAGTATGTACCACCGGTCGAACCATTCCACTTGCTAAATCGACACACGGGCACAAACCAGTTTGACAACCTTGCTTACGCGAGAAACAGATGGTCAATACTCCAAAGTTGTCGGAAACAATCAACATATATTACCGGTACATAAGATGGTTAAATGTAGGATAGGTCTCCTAAGCCACAAGTAAATCAGATGGAACGTCTAGGCAGGTTGGTCAAGTTTCGTGATCGAGACAAATAACATCCATTTGCAAATACACGGATTCGCACACAGAACATCTCATCTCGGACTAATCACGACTATTCTAATGAGACCTACAATAAAGACAGCCTAGTTATTCTACTAACTACATAAGTTGTTAGTATATACTAACTAATATCCAAAATGTATGAACTAGTATCCTAGTCTGTTGATTTTACTAAAGTATCTAGATAGCACATACTAGTATTCAAAACATCACAAACTAGTATCCAGATAGCATATACCAATTAATATCCACAATCAACCAACTAGTATTCAATATGGATATTCTTATGAATTATCTGGATACTCTTATGTGTTATCTGGATACTAATTATGTGTTGTATGAATATTAGTTTGTGAATTTGGAATAATAGTTGATTCATGTTAGATATCAGTTAGCAAACATTGAATATTAGTCTATGCTCTCTAGATATTTTACTACTTGGATACTATTTCATGTATTTTGGATATCAATTAGTATCTGCTAACGAATCTTCAAGTTAGCAGATTAACTTTTTCTGGAAAAATAAAGAGCCTAAAGGATTTCAACTCTATTCCAAGTTCCGGCAAAGGATTTCAGCTGGGGAAAGTCGAACTCAGCAGAGGGTGATTACAAAGATGGGTCGAACTGAAGTTAACTAAACAGCTGAGAAATTTATGGTCATTCCATGAGAGAAGCAGTATTGATCTTTACCAAAAAGATAAATGAAACCAACGAGCAGAACTCCTAAATCAGCTTCGACCTAGCAAATTATTGAGGGCCACAAATTGTAACCACTAATGTTTAGGGATTTCAAAAATTTTGCAGGGGAAGGAAAAAAGTAAAAATTCTGCTAGTAGAGTGCCAGCAGTTCGTTCCAATCACACAGATGACAACTGAAGCTATTATCTCTCCGGACAAACCGTCCTACAGAGTGGGGTTATTATCTCTCTCAAGGGTAGTAGCCAGTGAAGGTGAATCCCCTCCCGACGATCTCACCAGCACAATACCAAGCGAAGCACTCGAGTCCAAACAGCGCAGCAATGCCTGTATCCTCGACCTTCAGCTCCTGCCTCCTCTTCCATAGGTTTTTCACGTAATCAAGTTCCTTCCAGAATGCTTCATATCGCCCGGGGATGCTGTTGCAAGGAGAAAACCCAACACATGTCAAATATACAGATAAACAACATCCACCGACCTCACTGAAGTACTTGCATTTGACACACAATGGAGTTAACTTAAGATCAGTTCATTCCCTTCCTACAATTTTACACTGACTGAGCTCCTAAACAAAGTAAGCAATAGGGGATGAAGTGATGAGCTGATAGCTTAGACAAATGCTAATTTGATGTAATATTGCTGAGACACAACGGTTAGTTTCTCGTCTAGCGAGCTCTATCCTTCGACTCACATGCCAATCGAGATTTTCAACTTCAGATAATATTAACCCTGGTGTTCTGTACTCCAAAAATATCAGGAAAGTGCAATTTAATGGTTTTAATTTTCTATTTGATTAACAGACAAACAAAAAATCTAAGTGCTTGAACCAAACAAATCATTGATCTCAAAGCACCACCATCAAGCCATTGATAAATTTGGTAAGAGTGAAGTTAACAGAATGTCCACAAGAACAGGCAGTAATAGTCAATTTCGGGAAGAAGGCTATATAAGTTCTACCTATTGTGACCAGCAGTATCTTAAATTACAATAGTCAATGTCTTAGCAAAGGAAAGAAGATATTCAAAATCTACACGACCATATTCCAAGAATTCAACATAGTTTCCATCTGAAGCAAAGGATTATACAAATTTCAAGCACACAAAAGGAACATAGCTACTGGAAGAGAAGGGACCGCACTACATGCACGATAGTTCACGGGACTTGTGTAGAGAATTGAGTTCCATAAAAGGAACAGTAGAAGAGAAGATCTATACGGCATTAAGTAGACAACAAACCCAACCCTATCTTGAAACCAGGAAGATGTTGAAGATAAATCGACTAGGAGAATGCACTACCTAAAACCCAAAAGTCGATCGAAAGAAGATCAGAATACCATCGTACATTTGATCGATTCACAACCCATTATTGCCAGCAGAAAGAAACAGCAGTTGGAGCAATATCAACACAATTGAAAGCCAACAATAACAAGGGCCGAAGAAAAGCAGACCTGGCCAGTCGAGTGTAGAGCAATTGCTTGGACAATTCATCGCACTTCTCAACAGTAGCAGGTTGCTGAATGTACTGCTTGTTCTGCTCCAATAACTGCTTGTAGTAGGTAGTGCCATGCTTGGATACGAACTGAGTCGCTTGGCAAGCCTTGGATTGCAACTGATGCAATTTGGACGCCATCGCTTCCAAAAACTAAAACCTGAAACCATGACAAGAAAAAAAACTTCAAACCGCAGTCCCTAAAATAGCAGATACAGCAAGAAACAACCTCTGGACCGAGATCCACGAAATCCATCAACAAACAGGGACGCAAAGGCAGCTGAAAACCAAAACCCAAACCCTAATTGACGATATCAACAGGTACGATAAAATCACCAGCGGCACAAAATCGCAAACGAAAACAAGCTCAACCCACAAGCGATCCATTGGTAATCAGAATAACTAGAAATTCGTAACAACGAAGGAATCGAACGAGATCTGGCGGGGACTGACTCGATACACGACCCAATGAATCAGTGAAGCTACTGGAAACGAAAAGCAGAAATTGGAATTGAAGCCGGAGCCAAGAGGTCTACCTATGAAGAGCGACGACGAGAAACGAAGATGGCGGTGGTGGAGGGTAAGATCGAGTTACGGCGATTGCTCGTCTCGCCGCTACCAGCTATTCTTGCGCGGAATGGACGAGCTAGAAAGAGAACTGTGAGCGATGGTTTAAGGGTGATGCGGAGATGGGGTTTTCTCTATTTCAGTCGGGGTGTTTTTGGGAAACAAGAGAACATTAGGGACCTCGATATATATATATATATATATGCAATTTATTCGTGACCAAGGTTGTCAAACCAGTTTATACCGTTATGTCGGTTTGGGAAGTGGAATGGTACGATCGGTGGTATAACCAGTTTATGCCGGTTCATGCCGGTTTAAAAAAAATGTGAAAACAATTAATATCCAATGTATTTAATCATATATAAAACATATTTGTGGACAATTTAGTTACAATCCAACAAATATCATCAACTTTTAACTATTACATTCATAAAATAAATAATAAATTAATTTTTTATTCATTAAATTCATTAAATGATATCATTTTTCTTAGAATGCGTAAGTCGATTATACCGGTAGTGTCATACCGGTTTCATGACCGGCACAGGTTGAACCAGGTTCAACCGGGTGGCATGCCACCTGCATGACAACCATGACTTTTCCATAAAGTAAAAAAGAAAAAGAAAAACTAATTTCGACAACCATGACTTTTCCATAAAGTAAAAAAGAAAAAGAAAAACTAGTTTCTGTTTAGTGAAGGGGCAAAGACCAAAGAGTAAAGACTAAAGTAAAGACTAAGGGAATGTTTGGAAGTTAGGATTCTCTAAATTGATGTATTTAATCAATGTATGTATTATAATTAGATGCATTGTTTCAATGTATGAATTTGAAAAATACATTGTTTGGAAATTGAATGATTTTGGTGGTACCTCAAAGAATAAGGAACAAAAAGTAAGACAGCAATCCCTCAAATACAATTTCTACTAAAAGTTGGGATTGACAATCATTCATAATGAATGATTCTGGTGGGCCCATCTGCTGTTCAAATACAAGCATTCTGTTTCATTTTTAAGCCAAAAAAATGATGAATTCTTCTGATTACATGTATTGGTTAAATACATCATCTAAAATCCCAACTTCCAAACGAACCCTAAAGAGATTAGAGAAGGTTAAAAGGGAGGATGTAGGGCTTGGGCTTCTTTCCAATAGGGGAGAGATTTTGGACCTAATAATGTATGTTTATGAATATATAAGCCATGTGTGTATTAAGGTTTTGTGGGCTTAGCCCGACCAGATTTTATCAAGGGTTATAGGTATAATATGCCCATCTACTATGACGTTTTATCAAACATGCCCCTCTACTATTTCTTACATCAAATATGCCTCTGTACTTTGAGAAAATTATCAAACATGCCCTTCTGTTAAAAATTCCATTGAAAAAATCGTCAATCATGGTTGAATTGAGATTTAGACGACCCGACATCGACAAATGGGAGGGAAAATGTTAGTTTTGTCCCCTGTTTTATTTCCTTTGGTCTTTTCAAAGTGAAATTATTTGAATGATTTGATTATACAAAAGAACCAAAAAGATTCTAAAGTGAATTTATTAGGGATATTTTAGTCATTTGTGTCGCCCAAACTAAAGTTCGGCGTTGGTTAACGATTTTTGGATTAAAATTTTAACAAAAGGGCATGTTTGATCATTTTTACAAAGTACAGAGGGCATGTTTGATGTAAAAAATAGTAAAGGGACATGTTTGATAAAACGTCATAGTAGAAGGGCATATTATACATATAACCCATTTTATCAAAGATGAGGTAAATTGTAAGTTTGGTTATTGAAATTACTAAAATATCTTATGTTTGTTATTCAAATTATTTTATTTGTGGTTACTAAAATTAGCTCAATAATTAAAGTTTGGTTACAAGTTAATTTTTTACTAATGAGTTTAATGAAAATATCTAGTCACCCAATTTTATCCAAAAAAAAAAACCAGACCCGTCACATAAGCAAACCCACCATTGATGGCAATGGGGTGAGGTCGCGGCGGGTACCTTAATACCTATACCCCGCCCCATGCTACTGCGGGTCGAGACGGGTAAAACCCGTGCGGATACAGGGCGGGATGGGTCGACCCACTCTTACAAGTTATTTGGAAAAAATGAACGCAACTTTTACTTTTTACGATAAAACAAATGAGAAAACACTTTATGAATGAAAAATAGTGATAATATAATGGGTAATTAAGTCTAACAAGTTGAAAGATCGACTCTAAGTAGGTGAAGTCAAAATAGGAGAAATATGTATAAATACTGTAAGAAATTGAGATAGAATGGACCAAGAACGGGGCAGGGCGGATAGGAAGTAGATACTCATGCATCATCTCGCGTTACTGCAGATCGAGTAATACTGACCCCATCGCGAGTCAGGTAGGATAATACCTGCAAGGCGGATTCAAATTGCCATCACTATTCACTACCCACCGTGTCATAAAATCAGACCCATCCATACTCAACCCCCGACCCAACCCCTGTACTTGACAAACACCCAATCCCATTCTTCTTCTTCGCCTCAATCAGCTTAGAAAAATGAAGTCCCAACTATACAGGTATAGTCGTTTAGTCGATATAATAGACAAAATGACATTTTATACTCTTTCAAAGTTATAGTAAGTGGTAGATTTGCCAGATAATTTGATGCTAGAAGATAGAATTATCTATCTCAATCAAATGCGTTTCAAAAACCAAACTTTTGGTTTTTTCCCGATACAATACCAAAAGATGTAATTTTGTATATTTTTTTTCCAGCAAGAAACAATACATACAAATGCACATTTGTTGGAAATGTATATGAATAGCTTTAAAAGCTATAGAGTCTCAAGTGGAAAAATTACCACATTGGTAGTTTTACTTGGTGAAATGGGTATAAAGATAGGAGCCTCTCTCCTAAGGGCATGCCCCTTGGGCCCCTCTAAAAACATCACAACGAGCATAAACACAATAGAGAGAGTGTTCAGAGAGCTCCGGTTTTCGCACAAAACCGCGAGTATTGAGAGGAGTTGTTTTATCCTGGAGACGACTGGTTGATAGTCTGTCGTGCGCATCGAAGGCAGTGTCGCGAACGTCTTAAAGAGAGCGACCTAGTCCGCGACTCAGCTCCAGATTCGGTAACCTCGTTCTTCTTGTTGTTCCGTTCCTAACAATTTTAAGACGTTCGGCTGCTGCTATGTCGACTGAACAGAACAACATGGCCGGATCTGGTGCTGTCGATATCAATCGACCCTTTCGCTTTGTTGGGGTCAACTTCCGTCGCTGGAGACAAAAGATGAAGTTCTACCTGACGACCAAAAAGTTGGCACACTGCCTCACCAGCATGCCCGTCGAGCTGCCGGAAGAAGCGACCGATGAGGAGAGGGATGCTTCTGCCAATGAAAGGGAGCATGACTTCCTGTGCAAGAACTACATCCTCAACGGCCTGGCAGACGATCTCTACGACTACTATGCGGACAGTAAGAACACCGCGATGATGATCTGGGATGCGCTCCAAAAGAAGTACGACACGGAGGAGGCTGGAGGTAAAAAGTATGCTGTCAGCCGCTACCTGCGCTACCAGATGGTGGATGACAAGTCCGTCGAAGTTCAGTCCCACGAACTTCAGAAAATAGCTCATGAGATCGTCTCTGAAGGTATGCCTCTGGACGATCAATTTCAAGTTGCTTGCATTATTGATAAGCTGCCCCCTTTGTGGAAAGATTTTAAGAATATGCTTAGGCATAAAACCAAAGAATTTTCACTGGATAGCTTGATTACTCGCCTAAGGATTGAGGAAGAGTCCCGCAAGCAGGATATGAAAGAAGAAGTGATGGTCGTCACTGCTAAACGACCTACCCCTAGAGCTCTTAAACCTAACCAGAAAGGGTTTAAGAGTAAGAACCAGCAGGTCCGCCCCCACCAGAATGGTGCCTCTGGAGGTAACCAAAGGGTCATGGCCCAAACCTCTAAGAATGACCCACCGTTTATCTGCTATAACTGTGGAAAACCGGGTCATATGGCAAAAAAGTGTCGGAACAAGCAAAATCCTGCCGCTGCGGCCAGGGTTAACTTGACAGAAGAGGATTTGATAGCCATGATCACAAATATGATCGCTGAAGTTAACCTCACCGGTGACTCAGAAGGATGGTGGCTGGATACAGGTGCATCGGAGCATGTATGCAACAATCGTGCTATGTTTAAAACATACACAGAAGCACCTGCTGACAAGAAAGTGTTGTTGGGGACTACTCACACCACTATGGTTGCTGGTTCTGGTGAAGTGGAGCTGAACTTCACCTCTGGGAAGAAGATGGTGCTCAAAGATGTGTTGCACACTCCAGAAATAAGGAAGAATCTTGTTTCGGGATATCTTCTTAATAAGGCTGGGTTTAATCAAACTATTGGGGCAGACTTGTATACCCTTACTAAGAATGGGAGTTTTGTGGGGAAGGGATATGCATGTAATGGGATGTTCAAGTTGAATGTCGAAATTAATAAGATGAATTCTTCAGTTTAAATGGTGTGTGATTTGAATGTTTGGCATGCTCGTCTTTGTCATGTGAACACAAGAATTGTGAAGAATTTAAGCAAGCTAGGACATATCCCTAAACTCTCAATGAATGAATTTGATAAATGTGATTTCTGTAGCCAAGCTAAAATAACGAAAACGCCCCATAAATCTGTGAGTAGAGAATCAGAACCTTAGATCTGATTCATTCTGATATTTGTGAACTAGATGGGACGTTAACTAGGTCTGGCAAGAGATACTTTATCACTTTCATAGATGATTGCTCTGATTATTGCTTTGTTTATTTGATGAAAAACAAAAGTGAAGCCCTTGATATGTTCAAGGTATTTGTGGTTGAATTTGAAAATCAGTGCAATCGAAAGATAAAAAGACTTAGGAGTGATAGAGGATCAGAGTATGACTCTAATCCCTTCAAGGAATTCTATAGCTCACATCGTATCATTCATGAAACCACGACACCATATTCACCAGAAATGAATGGTAAAGCTGAGCGGAAAAATAGGACATTTACAGAATTAGTTGTGGCTATTATGCTCAATTCTGGAGCTGCTTCTTCTTGGTGGGGTGATATTTTGTTGACGGTTTGCTATGTGCTAAACCGTCTTCCAAAAACAAATAGAAAAGAATCACCCTATGAGATCTTGAAGAATAAGCCACCTAATCTGTCCTATTTAAGAACGTGGGGCTGTTTGGCCTACGTAAGAATTCCGGATCCTAAGAGGATTAAATTGGCTAGTCGAGCATATGAATGTGTCTTCGTTGGCTATGCGGCCATAGTAAGGCATATAGATTCTATGATTTGAATGCTCGTACTATAATAGAATCCATTGATGCTGATTTCTTTGAGACACGATTTCCATTTAAAACGAGAAATAGTGGGGGTAATGTACTACCCGCTATTAGAGATAACGGAACTAGTGAGGGTGTTGGTTCTGAAGATGAACTCAGAAGAAGTAAAAGAGCAAGAATCTCTAAAGATTTTGGTGATGACTTTACTATAGTATTCACCCTCGAAGATCCAAAAAGTTTGCAGGAAGCATTAACTTCCATAGATGCAGATTTTTGGAATGAGGCCGTTATAGATGAAATGGAATCGTTAGAAGCTAATAAGACTTGGCATCTAACAGACTTACCTCCTGGCTGCAAAGTCTTAGGTAATAAATGGGTTCTAAAAATGAAACGGAAACCTGATGGTGCAATCGAAAGGTTCCGAGCTCGCCTAGTATTTAAGGGCTACAGGCAGAGAGAGAATATAGATTTCTTCGATACCTATTCACCAGTATCAAGAATAACATCCATTCGAGTAATGATTGCTCTTGCTGCCTTGAAAAATCTCGTGGTACACCAAATGGATGTTAAGACCGCTTTTTTGAACGGTGATCTGGATGAAGAAATCTATATGGAACAACCAGAAGGGTTTGTTATCCCCCAACATGCATCGAAAGTCTGTAAGTTAGAAAAATCATTATATGGTTTGAAACAGGCTCCAAAACAGTGGCATGAGAAGTTTGACACTCTCGTTCTCTCACATGGCTTTAAGGTGAATGAAAGTGACAAGTGTATTTACTGCAAGTCAGAAAATAACACTTGCACTATCATATGTTTGTATGTAGATGACATGTTGATATTTTGTACAAATATTCACGTGGTCAATGAAGCAAAAGCCATGTTGAAAGAGAGCTCTGAGGTGAAAGATCTGGGAGAAGCAAAGTTTATGCTTGGAATCCAGATAACTAGAACAACAAATGGTTATTCTCTAGATCAATCTAGCTACATAGAGAAGATCTTGAAGAAATATAACTATTTCGACTGTAAACCTGCGTGTACTCCGTATGATGCTAGTGTAAAGCTATTTAAGAACACTGGAGACAGTGTAAGACAATCAGAATATGCTAGCATCATTGGCAGTCTCCGTTATGCAGCGGATTACACTCGACCAGACATTGCATATGTCGTGGGATTGCTTGGCAGGTTTAACAGCTGTCCTAGTAGAGAGCATTGGAATGCTATAGAGATGTCATGAGATACCTCAAGAGAACAGCAAACCTTGGTATACACTATCAAAGGTTTCCTGCTGTACTAGAAGGGTATAGTGATGCGGATTGGAATACCCTATCAGATGACTCCAAGGCAACCAGCGGGTATGTTTTTAACATCGCTGGTGGAGCTGTGTCTTGGAAGTCAAAGAAACAAACAATCCTAGCTCAATCAACTATGGAATCAGAGATGATAGCACTAGCAACGGCTAGTGAAGAAGCAAGTTGGTTGAGAGGATTGTTGTCAGAGTTCCCCTATGGGAAAGGCGGTCCCTCCGGTATTGATCCATTGTGATAGTACCGCAGCTATCGCTAAAGTTGAGAACCGGTTCTATAACGGAAAGAAACAACAGATTCGTCGTAAGCACAGTACTGTAAGAGAACTCCTAACTATAGGAGCAATGAGGGTGGATCATATAAGATCCGAACAGAATCTAGCTGATCCTTTGACGAAAGGATTACCTAGAGAGAAAGTCCAAAATACCGCCAAGGGTATGGGACTTATGCCTACCGAACCACGGACTACAAGTGATGGTAACCCGACCCAATAGACTGGAGATCCCAAGAAATGGGTTCAATGGGTAATAACAAGTTATGAGTAGTATGCGAAAAGTTCATGCATAGTGAAGCATGAATCCCAAAGCAATGGAGGTTGAGTTAATAACTCTTAATGAGATCTATACCCTATGTGGGGTGGAGTACTTTACTTTGGGGGTACTCCTGATAGACTCACCTATGTGAATGTGGGAGTGGGGCCGCTTCCTATGGAACTTTGGAGGCACAAAGTTGCTAGAGCGTTCACTAAACCAGGATAACGTGCATGGCCATAAACGCACGGGCTAAGAAGAGAACACAACTCAATAAAAAGATCCGGTGTGCTACACTGTCTGAGATAGGGTTCAAGACTACGAGTCACCCTTATGAAATCGGAAGTGTAACCACTACGCTAAGGTTCAAATCTTCGCGATACCTTAGCTTATGCCCGATCTTATGGAACTGCTGATGCTCAGAGATAGTTTCAAAACTATTCAAGTGGGGGATTGTTGGAAATGTATATGAATAGCTTTGAAAGCTATAGAGTCTCAAGTGGAAAACTACCACATTGGTAGTTTTACTTGGTGAAATGGGTATAAAGATAGAAGCCTCTCTCCTAAGGGCATGGCCCTTGGGGTGACCCACTTTTGTGGGAGAGAGAGGACCTAACGGACCACCACACACGCGCGCGCCGTTCGTCCGACCGGCCGGTTGGTTGGTTCACTTGAGACTACATATATATTTTTGGAGAAATTCCGAACGAAATTAATTATCTAATAATTAATTATTAATCGGTTATTCTGAGGAATATTCTAAGGATAATCGAAAGTATAATCCCTCCGGGTTTATCTTAACCGACGGTTTTAATTAAGGAAGTAATTATCTTCCTTAATTAATCCGACTTATTCCCAAAGCAAGAGGGTATATTCCTAGGGGTTCGGCTCCTATAAATAGCCGCCTCCCCAGCCCCGCTGAAAACATCACAACGAGCATAAACACAATAGAGAGAGTGTTCAAAGAGCTCCGGTTTTTGCACAAAACCGCGAGTATTGAGAGGAGCTGTTTTATTCTGGAGACAACCGGTTGATAGTCTGCCGTGCACATCGAAGGTAGTGTCACGAACGTCTTAAAGAGAGCGACCTAGTCCGCGACTCAGCTCCAGATTCGGTAACCTCGTTCTTCTTGTTGTTCCATTCCTAACAACATTGGCCTGAGAAATTGCACTCCTTTGAGAAGAACACTCCACAGCTGATGCAAATTATGTATTCTGTCCATATGGTCACGAGGTAAAAGGGAAAGCCAAGTAGGCAACGATGAGTGTAATCAAACCTCTTTCTCGAGGGAGGTATATATGCAGGTAATAGTATAGATTAGTACAATGATGACTCAATATTGCACATGTTTTCCCGTTTGTTTCTTGATCGTTTGAGCTTTAATTATCGCGTCTTTGGCCTATTTTATGCTAGGTTGTGTTCCTTTGTCACATTTCAGGTCCTAGCACATAAAGTGAAGCATAGGCGCAAGTTTCAAGTCAATCAGAGATCAATTGGCGATTGGGGAGAAGAAACTCGGGCATGACCTGAAGAAGAATGGATTTCTACCTCACTATATGGACAAAGAATCATGCAAGCTTGTCATGAAAAGAAAGAGGACGAGACTACGAGCGTCTGGGATCAAACGGAGACTGATTCGGAGTCCGCACGAGGGAGAAACGAAGCATTGAATATAGGGGAACAGGTTCGGCAGTAAAACACGGGCGCACCTAAATCAAAACACGGCCGTGCCCATATTTAGGCACGACCGTGTTTTGGCCGACGCGCGCAGGCGTGTTTTTAACACGGGGCAAAACACGGGCGGGCAAAAGCAAAACACGGCCGTGTCCTCGACAGTGTTTTGCCCAGAATCGGGGTTTTTAAGCCAATTTCGAGCCAAAGGAGAGGGAGCTGGGTTTTGGATCCCAAACACCCAAGAGACGAACAAAAGAGAGAGAGGGCGATTTGAGGGCATTCTTGGAGTGGAATTGGAGGATTTCTTTGCCTTGGAAGCTCGAGGAACAAGCCCGGACTTGAAGACTGATCATCTGAAGATTCTTACTGCAGTCTCTCTCTTCTCTATGGAGTAACTTCCCTTCACTTAGGTTTTGAGGAACCCTAGCTATGTTTGTTTGATTGGATGATTGTATGAGTACTCTGACTTGATAATATTGAGTTCATATTCAATCTATGCATGTTTTCATGATTCAATTCTGCTTTAGTCGAGATTATTGATTCTGCTTTGATCCTATGAGAGGGAATACCTGATTAGGTCAATAGAGCACCATAGATTGATAGTAGTGGATCGATTGCTTTAGTCGAGGGTTGATTCACTGCTTTGTATCGATTGAGAAACTCTTTCGATAGAGGGAGTCTAGTTCAGAATGCCTTGATCAGTTTTTCTAGAGAAGGATACGTCCCTCTATGCAATTGACTCAAGAGGGCCTTGTTTCTTTAGTCGAGACTCAAGGTCTAGTCAAGGATTCTCCGCATTGTGAATGAAAGTGAAACAAGTTAGAAATCATCAATGGTTAGTCTGGCTAGTGGCTAGGGGGAATCATACCTAAGTGAGTTCCCAACCTGTAATTAGATTAATTTTAACTGTAGTTTGCTAGAGTAGTTTTAGTTCTTTCATCTTAATCTGGTTTGCTAAATAATAAACTGAAGCTGAGTAATAGTAACTCTAGAGACCCGTGGATTCGATATTTATCACTTGAGCCACTATACTGCAGTCCCTTCCATTGGTTACACTTGGCCATTGTTAGGTGTTGTGTCGTAGCGAGTCATACAACAATAGTTGGGATCGACCACTAAAATCCACATCAGGTTAATCAAAATTGGTCTAGTGCGAGTGGCCGAATGAAAGCAGAGTTCATCTCCCAAATCTTGAGCTTCACCTTCACGTTCACATCCGTGGCATTGTTGAACAAGAAGAGCCTAGCATCTCCATAGATGGCCCTGGTGGGATAAACTCTGGAGGATATCACTCTCCTCCCTCCTTGTCCAAAGCTCTCCACGATGGAATGATCTACCAACACTCTCATCTCCAGCTTCTTGTCGCCCACCACCGGGATTGAGCTCCCGTACACAACCTTGAACACCTCGGGAGCCATCGACGATCTGCACACCAACAAAACCAAGCTGCAGAGTTACAATCGCGTCTTCGACTAATCGAACGTGTCCAAAATCATTGTTAACCTATAACAATCGACATGTGAGTGTTACTGAACCTGGTTTGATCTGTACAGAAGTAAGTCGTGACGGTGTAGAGGGTAGTCTGAACTGGCCGGAAGAAAACAGGGGTGAGCTCGGAGAGTGAAGCATCGGCCAGAGCTAGAATCCCAAACGGTCCCAAGCTGCTTCTCTCCGCTGCACCGCCGTCACAACGGTTCTCCTCGCCGGGTTACTTCCCTGATATCAACTCCACCTCAAACTCCGCCATTATATCCAGCTACAATGTAAGCAAAATTCTACAATCAAACGACCAAATCGCCGGCTTCCATTCATCATTCACTGTACACTGTAAACAAATCAAACCTGCGTAGCAGAGCCTATGTGTAGCGGCACAACCGAACCCGGACCCACCATAACCTCGTCAAAACAAAAAAAAAATCAACCTCATGCTTTCAATCTCCTCCACCGGCCATTGCAGTAAATCCCTTCCCGTCTTGCTATCCAGCACCACCATCCTCGGAATCGTTTTGCATTCTCAACCCCCATTTTTCAATGTAGTTAAATTACTGCGTCTAAATCACATTAACCCGAGGAGGGTAAATTATAAAATTACCTGGAGAGAAGCCCAACCCTTCATGAGGTCATCGAATTCCGTATCAGTCTCATTGATCCAACCCCAAAGTATTCTCCTCTGCTTCTCCTCATCGTAAAACGTCTTGGAAGCATAATACCGCCCGTAATCGTACTTCAGCCCGATTCCCACATCGCTCTCAGGGTCATCGGGCGTCCACAAATCCTTCACCAGGTCATACGTCCCGACGGCGAAGTGATCCAACTTTGTATCGTCCAAGCTCGCCTTCAACACATGCTTGATCCCTTCCCCGACCGCCGACGTGTCCAGCCCCTTCGTCCCGTTGACCAGAACCGGGTAAAATTCCACGTACTCCCACATACCCATACCCGGAACCGAGTGCAGGTAATGATCCAGCAACTCGTAACTAACAAAATTGTACGTCTTGTAAACGAGCGTGAGGCCCAACTTCTCGACCTTGGATCCAATCGCGACCCGCCACAGCCCATCCAGGCCCAGCCACGCGGTCGTCGGGTCGCGAAAATCCTTGGGCCCGATTCCCGCCGGCGGAAGGAGGATCGGGTTGGCAGGGATTTTCACCCAGCGGAGCAGGAGCGGGTCGGCGAGGTCGGCCGGGTGGGCGAGGTTTTGGACTTGAGTGAGATTCCCTGTGCCGCCGGTGTAGAGCATGTAGATGTTGCCGTCCTCCGGGTGGCGGGTGGCGGAACCCGTCCAGACGCCGTTAATGTCGTACCAGAGGTCGGGGATTAGGGCTAACGGGAGGATGAGCCAGTGGATTAAGTCGCAGGAGACGGCATGACCCCATGTGATGTTGCCCCAGGTGGCGGAGTACGGGTTGTACTGGTAGAAGATGTGGTACCATCCTTTGTGATACAATGGGCCTGCAAAACCAGCCCAGCCCAAAATCCACCAAGCCCATAACAATTTCAGAAATCGTTGAATCAAAATAAGAAAACAATAAGCAAAAGAGTACGGGATGGTACGTACCGTCAGGATCTGAAGAAGGATACCGAATTGTTCAAACCCAGCCGTTGAATCCAACAACATAAGAAGACAAAAAAACAAACACTAATTGATATCAGTATAGTACAGTACAGTTCATTCCCTGCAGGGAACACCAACCTCTCTCTAAGAATTGACCAATAGCAAAATTTCTTCTTCCTTCCTTCCCTTTTTTTGGAGCAGCTAAGCTATGAAAGTACTATTAACTAATTAATGGGGAAATTGAATAGTGGAAAGAGGGGTGAGATGATGGAGAAATAGAGCACACCTACCATTCATCCAATTTTGGTGTGGCTGGAAGTGGTAGGCAGTTCTCTGCCAGGCGAACATGGCGTTGGTCCAATTATACGAAACTCTTTCTTCATCCAGGTTCCCGGGAATGGACTTCGCTGAAACCCCTTCCCTCATTCCTCTCGCCGGCGTCGGCACTTGGTGGTGGGCAATGCCAGCGGAGATGGATAGAGACTGATGGCTCCGGTGGTCCGCCAATGTTAGGAGACCCACTGAGAAAATGACGAGAGAGGACAGTATTAGGCCGCATTGCTTGATAAGGCAGTGTCGCCGATGGGTTGAGGAAGGCGGCGGTTCGAGCAAAGGAGTGTCGGGTGCCATGTGAGAAGTGGGAGAAATAGAAAGTGGGATTGGAGTTAATGAGTTATATTGGGGAGATGGAGTGAAGGGTAGAACTTTCATGGGGATGGAACTTGGGAATGGTGGTGTTTATATTGGGTGTGGGGACGATGACGGCGTTGGGCTGAGTTGGATTTGTTAGTGTTTTCCTTTTCCGTCTTTCAATCCAACTGCTACCAAACAGGCTGGGACTGAGAGGAGAAGAGGATAGATAATAAAAGAAAGTGAGAAACAGAGGGATGGGTTTGCATTTCCGTGACTTGAATATATTAATCAAATCAAATCACAAACTCAAGACTCTATTCAATTAAATCACTTTGAGACAAAATACTCCCAGCGCCTGTTATCGATTTTCTGCCTTATCTATCTAGGGGGAATTAAATCCAAAGACATTAATGTTGAAATAGGATTTTTGTCCATTGCGAATATAAATGGTTATTTCTTTCATTTTGGGTAGCGATAATATAAATTAAGAGATAAATTAATTGTGTAACCATTTCGAGAACGTGATTGATTGGATTTACTTACTGTAGCAGAATGGAGAATATCTGAATATGTGAGTAGATTTATGGAGGTAGATGGGCAGTATCATCTTAGGTTGAGTTTTTGCCTCTTCATGTTAATGAAACCAGATATTTGGAAACTTATTAATTAGTGGAGAAAAAATGTTAAAATCAAGAAAGTGAAACAAGAGGTGTTTCGAACAAAGATTATTGGAACCAATCAATAATAACAAGGTTTGAGTTCTTATGCGGACTTACTTTATTTCACTTAGGGGTGGGCATTTGGTTTGGTAAAACCAAATCGAACCGGTCAGAAACTGAAATAAAACAAATCGAAATTGAATTATTATTATTCGGTTCGGAATTCAAAAGACAAACATCTATACTTTGGAAACAAGGGTGTGCCCAATCGAACCTGATATTCCGAATTTCGACCAAACAAACCGAAATTCCTCGCTCTCTCACACACAACCCACAATTACAAGTCCACTCTCACACACATACAGCTAACAACCCAAGTCCACTCTCTCTACGACTAAAATCCTAGCCCAGTCCAAAATCGTCTTCTTTTTCCAGCATCTTGCCTCGTTGCCGTCGCCACCCCCTGCCGTAGATGTACCGCCGCCGACTTCCTCTGGTCGACCACTAGAGTCCAATACCTTTCCCTCTCTCCATTCTCTTCTCATTGCTGGCCTTTTATACTCAGAAAACCAACCAAAATGAAAATCACAGATTAGTAAACGCATACAAAAAATTTGAATTAAACAAAAACAAAACATAATCATTTTACCAAGGAGGAATCCAGATCTGCTCCTGTAGTTCATGGCAGAAACTGTGTCGTGTCGTCATCTGCGGCGACGGCAGCGACACCCTATCTCAGATTCGCGGTGACATGTGGTGACGGCGTGACTCGTCCCTCTCCACCCTCGCAGAGGTCGGCGAGGATGCCGAAGTCGAAGTCTCCAGTGGCGACGGTGGAAGGAGACCAGATCGGGCCATTGGGGTTGCTTTTGCTGCCGATGCTTGGTTTCAGATAGGTGAAAATCACAGGCAAGAAGCGGAAGTGAAAGGGTCGCCGTGGGAGAGGGAAGCCGGCTACGAAAGAGCGGAGCACGACCTCGGTGACGCAGGGAATAGAGCACATCCCGATACCAAATGGAGAGGAAGGGACTCTCCGAGGCAGCCGTCGGCTACTGATGGAGCCAGATCTCTGTCTCTGATGTTGCGGCGGAGAGGGAAGAAAGAGGAGAAAGTGAGAGAAGTTTGAGGAGGAAGAGAAACAAATTAGGTTTCGCGGGGGTGTCTTTTGTTAGCGAAAAGAAGAAATAAAGAGAGCGAGAGAAGATCATAATTTGGGTTTTCTGTTCCGAATTGAGTAATATTTTGGTTCGATCAAACCAAACCAAAATATAATTATGTTCGGAATCAGTTTGGCCTTCGACTGGAATTGGAATACCAATATGCATCTTTTCGGTTCGGTTCAAACCGAAACGACCGAATGTCCACCCATAATTTCACCTATTCGGTTATCGAAAGCGATCTTTTAGAAAGTTGGAGCACTCTCATTAATCTACACTCAGGCGCTATAATAGTGGCAGATCCATGGGGCCGCTCCGGACCATGGCTCAGCCCTCCTCTGGATCTAGAGCTAGTATAGCACTTGTAAATTTTTTATTTTAGGTATTCATTTCAATACTCGTTGGGTTACGACCTAGTCCTTTGCGCATCTTTTCAAATGTGGCCCAGTTCTCTACCCTATTTTGGATCCACCGCAGCGCATTAGTTACTGATAAATTATAGTACAGGAGATTATGTATGTAAAATAAAAGTTTTAAACAACCACAGAGAGACAACAATGGGCTAGTTTGGCCCTGCTGTAACTTTTGCCGAAGCAGCTTTTGGCTTGAGCTTTAAGAGAAATACTTTTAAAAAAGCAGTTGAGCGTTTGGCTGAAAAATTATTAGAAGTGATTTTTAATATAAGTGCTCATGTAAGATTACTAAAAAGGATTTCTAATATATCATATGAATAAAAATGTTTAAAAAATAAAAAAATAAACATAATGGATCTTGTTTGATTTTTTTATATTAAATAATGTTATTGTTGAATTTATTTTATTTTTAAAATGATGTAATGAAAGAAAATTATATTGTCCAAAATAGAATTAAAATATGGTAAAGATAATTTTGTATTTTCAAAATAGTTTTTTTTGCAGAAGCTCTGATCGAGAGCTTCTGTTTTTATGTTATACAAAAATACTTTTCAGCTTTTCTAAAACCGAGCTTTTAGAGTTGTTTGGCCTGACTTGAACTTTTAGAGCAGAAAAACACTTCTAAAAGGCGGACCAAACATAGGCAATAGGGAACAAGAAGAGTTAGGCCAACTTCAATGCAAGTCCCCAAATTTGGGGATCATCCCCATTTTCTCCTTGTTTGCTCCAATGCTACATTCTCCAAATTTGGGGATCTCTGTTTTTTTTTTAGTTTTCCATTTACTTAAAAATGTACTTATGGAAGTCTTAATATAATTTGTTCATGTTAATTTTTGTATAGTTCGTCATCATTTTAAATATAATTTTTTGATAGAATATTTTTAAATTCCGACACCAAATTGTTTTTTGCAAAAAATAATTGACCTAATTTGAGTTTACACAACACTTTCAAATGATAAAGCTGAAGGAGATCACATAATAGTTCAAATGATAAACAAAAATATCATCTTAACACAACCATTAATTTCACAATTAACCCCAAATTTAACCTCAAATTATCCCACAAATTATCACACAGTTATCCCCAAATTTAACCCAAAACAACCATTAATTTATATAAAAAAGGGGATGGGCGTTCCCGGGAATCGCCAAAACGTTCCCCAAAATAGCGATCCATTTGCCGATTTTCGGCAAAAATGGCGTCAGTAAGCCCACAAATCAAGAGTCCTGCTGGAGATGGGAATTTCCCATATTTGCCGAACCCATTGGACTCAGCCTTATGTTGGGAATAAAATTACGTACTCATGACCAGCGACGGATCTAGGGGCCGCCCCAAGCCACGGCTCAACCCTCCCTTGAATACAAAGTTAGTATAGCACTTGTAATTGTTCGAGTTTAGATATTCGTTTCATTGCTTGTCGGGTTACGATCCAGTACTCTCCTTCTCTTTTTATATGTGGCCCAATGATCTATACTTGGATTCGCCACTGCTCATGACAATCACGAAATAGTGAAACTCGTTATCTCAAGGAAATGGTAGTTTAGTAGGAGCTGCGTCAGCATTACCAAAACTGGACTGAGCCATGTTCAGTTTATGTGGTTAATCGTTATTAAGACGTACTTTATGAAATTGATAGTTTGGTGCTAATTTCTGGATAAGCACTTTTTCGTTTGAACACGTCGTTGATTTATCCGCTGCTTCCGTGTCCATAATAATCCCGGGTTACGGGGCAAACTTGGGCTTTTTTTCTTTCAGGAATTTGGATAGGTTTGTTTCCGGGTCAAATCCTGGATAAAAACCCCACCCGAATTCATACGTACGGACTATGTTTAGAAGGGTTTTCCTTGGAGGGTTGTCGCTTAATATGAATTTGGATCCATATTTCTTTATCATCATCATTAAAATCGCAGTTTCATATGAGAGCATCGAGTAATTTATTCAAAGTTCGAAATATAACCGACTCTTTGGTAACAAATGAATCAAGAATTCATTACGTTGTAAAATGAATTATCGTGTAGAATTCATTCTCAAATGAAATTTTATATTTGGTATGTCATATTCAAATCTTTAGATATAAAATATATTGCCGTGTAGAATTCATTGTCAAATGAATTCCTGTGTTTGGTATGTCATATGTATAAGCAATTTAGTTAATAAAATAGGATAATTATATCATTCTATTAAAAATAGTAAATACTTGTGGAATTCATTTGAAAATTTCATCTCAATTTTTCGGAATTGCTATAACTAGTTCAAATTCTGTAGAATTCAAAATTCAGAATTGAAAATGAATTCTTTCAAATACCAAACACAAAAAGATTTCATTTCAAAATGAATTCCTCAAAACTTATGGAATTCATTTATACCAAACGGTATGTAAAAGAATTTGAACTTGCAACACTTAAAGTTAGGTTGCTTGTTGGATTTGAGTAATGGAATTAGTACCCAAATTTTAAATTTGTTAGATTTAATCCAAGTTTATTGTTTATTGAAGGGTGTATTTAGTCTCTATTTTAGATCCAAATTTATCAGACTTGTAAAGCCTACATATTGGGTTGTGATTTGTAAATCATTAATGACTAGTCATATATGTAACAAATCCATCATAAATATATCATCAAATCTAACTATCATGCAAACTACAAACTTTTCAAATCCATAATACAATAAATCCATCCTAAATTCAAAGTTTCCCCCCCCCCCCCCCCCAAAATACTCATTTTTCAAATCTAACAAGCAAACCACCCTTTAGACATCCTTGGGGAAGAAGCTTATGTGATATACCAATCGATCTGCATAACTCGAGTTGTTGGTAGACGTTTATATATGGTACTTAATAACTTTCTTACACACTCAGACGCTCACACAAACAAGAACCAACTCATGGACTTGAACTTTGTACAGGTTCACCATATCATGTGTTTTAAAGACAACGATTACTATTGAGAAGCGTGATGATTTGAACATGACACCTCAAGAACAAACTATTTTTTTTTGCATTGAGTGGAGGCCGAAGCCGAGAAAGAAGAGCACACTACAGGGAAAGGATTACAGAGAAATGGGGGGAGGAGCGACAATGCGTCTCTCCAGGGTGGTACCCATCATATCCTCTCGAAGAATAGAAGCTAATCCGTCCGGAGGATCCGCAAGTTCATACATACCATAGGGATAGACGAGACTGTGCTTCGAGAGCCAGTCCGCGGCTCTATTCCCTTCTCTGTAGGTATGAACGATGCGAGTCAACCAATCCCGACTAAGCTTCCTGCGAATGATCGACAGGATAGTAGCATACGGATGAATCCGATCGTATATGTTCTTAATAAGCTGGATGGCCAGTTGCGAATCCGTAACGATCTTCAAAGCCCTGTAGCCGTCTTTCCAAGCCAGATCAATGCCCTGGTTGATTGCCCAAAGCTCGGCCAAAGCCGCCGAGGCCGTTCCAATGTTTGACACGAAGCCCTTGATCCATCGCCCTTTGTTGTCACGAAGTAGTCCACCTGCCCCTGCCGGCCCCGGATTGCCATTTGAGGCACCGTCGACGTTGAGCGCGGTCCATCCGCAGCTAGCCGAGATCCTTGCCACCGCGTGGTTCTTGCTGTTCAGAATAGCTGAGGGTGAGTTCCAAGAGGTGTGCCAAATCTTCACCTTCGTCAGAATAGAATGCTCAAGTGTGGGAGGGGTCATTGCCACGTTCAATTTCTTAAAGGTAGTTGTAGTTCTATTCTTCCAAAGTAGCCAAGTGGAGATGCTGAATAAAGTTGGCCAGTCTATTCCAATGGGAGTTGTAGCCGAGCTTGTGAGGTTGTTGTGAAATCAATCCTGCTAGCTGGAGCTGAAGAAACTTTGCTGCATCTCGTTGGGGGCGTGCCGTGACCATAAGAATAGGGCAGGAGGGCAGTCTCTTAGTATATGGAGCACGGTCTCTAGCTGTCCAATGCATCTTGCACAGCAAGGAGAATCCGCCACTCGTCTATAATGGCGCAGAGCATTTATGGCGAGCTTGTTCGAAAAGGCTAGCCACATGAAACTTCTAACTCGTTCCGGGGTGGGGAGACGCTAGATGACCTTCCAAATCTTCTCGTCATGGCCAGTATGGTGCTGGGAGAGCAGGCTGAACGCTGACTTCGTGGAAAATTTTCCATCAGCGCCGCTGACAAGAAGATCTCATCGTTTTCCTGAGACAACGTGTCCACTGCAATGCTCTGGATTTTTTGAGTGATCTTGCTGGGGAGGAGATGCTCAAAAAGATCCGTCTTCCAAGAGCCATCATCACGAACCATCTCAGCCACTTTCATTCCCTCCATGTCCATCAGTATATTACCCAACGCCAAGTCACGAAGAGGAGCCTGCAAAACCCAACAATCAAGCCAAAAATTAGTCTTCCTACCGTTCTTAATGTTCCACGCGCACCCTTTTTTAATCAGGCTAGCAGTTTTAGATAGACTAGCCCAGGTGAAGGAACTTCCCTGAGATGGCTGGAGCACTTCAAGGCCTTGCCTTTGACGACCATACTTTGCCCTCATAAGCTGGGTCCAGAGGCTTTTCTTATCATTAATAAGTCTCCACGCACTCTTGGCTAGCATAGCCAAGTTGGCTTGTCTAGTCGGTCTGATCCCCACTCCCCCTTGCAACTTAGGACGCGTCATAACATCTCAAGCGACCAAATGCATCTTGGAATTCTCTTCTTCATCCCCCCCATATAAAGTCTCTATTTAGCTTGTCGATGGACTTGCACACGTTGCTGGGGAGGAGTTTCGTCTGCATGTTGTAAACCGGAAGGGAGGCAGCAACCGATTTAGCCCGGGTCAGTCGAGCTGCAAAGGAAAGACGCTTCACCTTCCACGGAGCCATGCGCTTTTGGATGCGCAACATGAGGGACTGGTATCGCTCTTTTGTGACCCGCTCCTGGATAACTTGAATGCCAAGGTATCTCCCCAAAGCCGCCTTCAGGGGAATCCTGGCACGCAGACTCAATCTGGTAGCTTTCCCGCGAGCAATGTTAGGGGACACATACATAATAGACTTTTGGTAATTCACCCTCTGGCCAGAGCTGTAGCAGAAGTCCTCCAAGCACTCTTTGACAACATCTATATGTCGTGACTCCGCTTCCGCAAACAAGAGAAGGTATCTGCAAAGAAAAGATGGGTCAGAGATGGTCCGTTCACAGAGAGCTTCAAAGGTTTCCACTTTCCATTGTGAACGACATCATCAATCCTGTGAGAAAGACGCTCCATACAGAAAATAAAAAGGTAAGGGGAAAGAGGATCTCCCTGACGAACTCCTCGGGATGGGGAAAAGGATTGTGAGAGCTCCCCGTTCCAGAGTATCTGCATTTTGTTTTGCTCCACGCAGTACATAATATAGTTTATCCATGAGCTGGGGAGGCCCACCTCCTTCATAGTTTCCCTCAGAAAGTCCCACCTCAACCTATCATAAGCTTTTTCCAGATCGATCTTGAAGACCAGACCCCCCTTTTTTCCTCTCTTCTTCCTGAAAGAGTGCAACACTTCCTAACTACAAAGATGTTGTCTTCAGTTTGCCTGCCAGTAATGAAGCTACTTTGCCGAGGCGAGACCAACTTCCTCATAATGGGTTTAAGCCTGCTAGTCATAGCTTTCATGATCGCCTTCAGGCTGACATTATTCAGAGAGATAGGTCTAAGGTGAGTCACTTTCTCAGGCACCTCCACTTTAGGAATAAGGACCAGGGTAGAGTCCTTAACAGTCTCCGGAAGAACCCCTATCGAGAAGAAGCCGAGCGCCATCTCCGAGGTAGCCTTTCCAACCACTCTCCACATATGCTGATAAAAGTCTGCATGATACCTATCGGGGCCCAGGGCTTGGAAAGATTTCATTTCAAAGATCGCCTTGTGGATGTCAGCTATGGAGAAGGGTCGCAGTAGAGTGACCATTTCCGCCTGATCCAGCCGCGGGAAGGCTCTCTTCGGTAACCTGTCTTCATAGGCTGAATCATCCTGCAAAAAGAGGTTAGTAACAAAATAAAAAATCATCAGGTCAATGGCGTGAGGGTCATTCACCCAAACACCATTCTCGTCCTGCAGAGCTTCGATCTTCTTCCACCTCCTTTTTAGGTTGGTCTGGTGGTGAAAATAAGCTGTGTTCCGTTCTTCGAACTTCACCCAATTATCCCTCGCCCGCTGGAACCAAAGAACTTCTTCATGCTCGAGGACTCTGTCTAGCTCTGCTTCCATCTTCGAGTGAAGCTTCGCTAGGCCAGGGAGAAAATAACCCCCAGTTGCGATTCCGCTCCTTTGATTCGAGCCAGAAGTCGAGCCTTCTTCTTTTGGATGTTGCCAAATGTATTCGAGTTCCACTCCTGGAAACACCCTACAAGATGAAGAAGAGCGTTGGGGAGGGGGATATGCTCATTCCAGGAGGTAGCGACAAAGTCCTTAAAATTATCATGATAGAACCAAGCAGCCTCCAACCAGAAAGGACGATTGTTGGCCAAGGACCCGCTTTGGGAGGTCACCGAGGTCAAAATAGGGTTGTGATCAGACTGCATATGGGGGAGATGGAGCACCGAGGTATTTGGGAAGGCTTCATTCCAAGCCAGGTTGCATAAGCTCCGATCAAGCCGGCTTGCCTTGTAGGTATGGGGTTGGTCTCCCCGAGTACAAGTGTATTTCAGACCAGAAAAATCAAGATCCACGAGCTCCGCCATGTTGATCCTATCGTTGAACAGTCGACACCTCCTGCTTGTGCTGCTTATTGGAGGATTGGCTCTTTCTTCCAAATCCCGGATCGCGTTGAAGTTACCAGTAAGTAGCCACGGGATGTCGAAAAGTCGACTCTCGGTGAAAATAGTTTCCCAGAGTGGGTGTTGCTCGCTGTACTTCGGGGAAGCATAAATGGTAGTAAGCATCCACGGTCTGTAGTTAGCTTGCTCAATCCGGAGAGTAATATGTTGGTTGCAAGCCGACATCAATCCCGCCGAGAGCATAGTATCGTTCCAGAAAACCCATATACCTCCTAGACGACCTGTGGCCTCCACCCGAATTGACTTGGGGTAACCCAACTTGTCATAGAGGGAATTAGCTGCCGAGCCGCTAATCTGGGGTTCCAAAGGGATCACGAATTCAGGACTGTGCGTCTGGAGAGTAAGTTTAAACGCCCGGAAAAAGGCTCCGCCACTTGCACCGCCAACATCCAAGATAGTATTTAATATGAAAATTAACCGACATAGACATGAAAAAAAGAGAAAAGGACGAGGAAAGAAATAACAAAGAGAAGGTCAAGAGGTTAGAGGTGTTGCGCCCTCCGCCGAAAAAGGTATCGGGGGACGTCTTTCTAGGAGGTCGGACGGCGGCGAATCTCCTGAAACTCCAGTCGATAGCTTTGCCGCGCTTGTCCAGGCATTAATCTCCTGCAGCGTCGCTATTCTCGCTTTTGAAGCTGAGCTTTCTGTTTCTTATTCTTCTTAGTTCGCATAGCAGTCGATGGGGAATCGTGAAGGGATTTTTCTTGGGGTGGAGAGGCTGTTGGCGGCACCTCCACTATTTGCATAACTGTGCCATTGGGCCCAACTACCGTCTGGAAATTGGGCTACAGGAGAGGGGAGGCCCCATGGCCGAGTTCCTCCTTGGATGGAACCTTGCTAGTGTGCATTGAGGGAGGTGGGCCGAAGAGGAGGCCCGATTGGCCGCGGAGACCGCTTTAGAGACGATAGTCAGTGTAGGGTTTCGGGAGGGTCCTAGGCCCAAAATACTCACGCTATTATCCGCCATCTCCAAGATCATAATTGCTTTCCCTTTCTTTCCTTCTTCAACTTTTTTCTTCATGTTTCCAACCTTCTTATCTTGGCCTGAGGACCGTTGCTGAGAGACTTTTGGTAGGGACGTGGGCGTGGGAGAAGGTATAAGTCTTTCCTTATTGTTGCTTCCGACTTTCCCCGAGTTGGTTTGATTCCCTTGATTTTGACTCTTGATATCAATCTCCGACTTTCCTTTCTTTTTATGATCCCTCAGATTCCGCCGACCCTTGCGTGAAACCCGCATCCAAGGACCGAATCCTGGGTTAGGTTCATCGACGACTTGCTCCGCCGTCTCCGTTGCGGCCACCAGACCGGTTATGGCGAGGGTCGCTGGCGGTGAGATCCGAAAAATTTGTGGGCATTCCGCCGCGTCATGCCCGATTTTCCCGCATTCAAAACAGACTGCCGACAAGTTCTCATACTCCACTTTTTGCCACACATCATCTAACCATATCTGTGGAACAAGATGTTTGGCCAAATCAACCTCCACCGCGAGACGGGCAAACTTCGCCCGTTGACGATTGAGCGTATGATAATCGAGCTTAATGATTCTTCCAATGAGGTTTCCGAGAGTTGTGAGGACTTCTTTATGGTAGAAATGAATTTTCAAAGCCGGTAACTGCACCCACACGATCATCTTCTTAGGAAGAGGATCTGAGACCTTAAAGTGTGGAGTCCATTGTTGAACAGCGAGGTAGTGATCAAAGATCACCCACGAGCCATCCCTAAGCGCTCGAAAATAGTCTTTTTCATTGTCGAGTTTCACCAGAAAGCAGTCGTGATCAAGGTCTAAGATCTCCATATTACCGGCTGGTTTCCAGAGACTGCGGAGGGTGGAGCATAACGTAACAAATCCAATCTTAAGGCCAAGCAGCCGGACAACCAAAGTGCGTTGCCACGGCGCACAGATCTTGTTCTTGAAATCAGGAGAGACATTCAGAGCAGGTTCTCCGTTACGCTCGCCTGGTATGAGGTCGTTAGCACCCACAGGAGTCCATTGGTTGCCCCCCAAGGGGGAGGCCGACGCAATTTTCCACCCTGTCACCGCCTTGGCATAAGAGAATTGTTGCGACGGTGCCAGAGGTGGGCAAGGTTGGTGGGTAGTCGCCGACGAGTCGATCAGCATTTTGGAGGTGGTCGTACCGGTCGCCAGCACCAAACTTGGGCCTGACGAAGCTAAAGAAGGGTCTGGTGGCTGGTCGGAAGGTAGCAAGGTTTGCGAGGAGTTATTGCTGGGAGTTGCCGTTGAGAGCATAGCTAGAGGGCTCAAGTTCTTCTTTTACACACTGATATATATGACAGTCTCAAGAACAAACTAATTCTTATAGGGTTAATGCCACATTTGGTCACTTTAATTACTAAATTGTATCATGCTTAGTCACTGGCAATGCAGTCAAAAGCGCGATTCTACCTAGAAGCGGAAAATAGGTAAAATCATAAAGCATAGAATCAAACCGTTAAAACGTAGTTTTTGACGCATACTGTAAAATAACGAAAAATGTGTTAAGTACGATAAAATATGAGTGGACCTAATTTAGATAATTTAATAAATATCTGAAAATTCATGTCTAAACTTGAGAAACTCATAACATTTTAACAATAAGTTTATAAACATATATCTTAACAATAAGCTACATTTCCCTCTATGCTAGTGAATTTGGGAAGGGCCTAGATGGTGAATTAGATTACTCTATTGAAACTAAGAATGCACTCAAGTACTTGATATGTATCTTTTAATCTCAAATATTTCATATTTTTTGTGATTTACCTTTAAAATATAAGTATTTTCATGAATAGAATACTCCTTTAGTGAACTAGAAGCGTAAAAGTGTAAAGCGTTTTGGCGAACCAGAAGCGTAAAAGCATAAGCTTTTAAGCTTTCAAGCGCATTTTTGTCCCGATTTTATACACTTAAGATTTTAGATGGAAACGAAAGCGTTTTGGTGTCCTAGAAGCGTAAAACCGTAAGTTTATAACTTTTAAAGCGCGATTTTGACTACATTGGTCACTGGAAAAAGTTAATATCAAATTTGGTCACTCTAATTACTAAAACATGTCATATTTAGTCACTCTCCATTAGTCTTCGTGCAACTCCGTTAATGGAGTCCAATATGTGCTGACGTGGCTAACGGGAGCGCCTAGTCAGCGCCGTTTTGACCCAAAAATGACAAACCCAACCCACTATTCACCAAATCCGTCATGTCATATACCCAACCCAAACCATTAACCCAACCCGACCCAGAACTAAAACCTACCCCACCTCACAACACAAATTTGGGAAATCGATCGGGTTAGTGGTCATTTTCAGACCATAACCCTTTCTCCTTCCTCGCAAAGCTTTGCTCCTTCCCCGCGAGGTGCCAAAGACACCCAAATTGATTCTCGCGAGGTGCAAAAGGCACAATCATGGCTTCAGCAGCTGTATGCAGCTCAAGAATACGCGGTACCAAGCGATTGCATCTGTTCGACGACGAATACAACTCCGATTTCCCATCGTTGTACCCCTCGTCTATAACCAAGAAGCGTCAGTTGGCTCCCCCAGGTCTCGAGCGCCTCCTGGCGAGGTTCCCCAACATGGAGGTGGTGATTCTCAAGTTAGCCCTAGAGGAATGCGGCGGCAACATCGACGTCGTGATCCATCGCCTCTGCCATCTCTTCCTCGAAGAAGCGCCTATCACGAAACCCGACCCCGCAGTGAAAATCAGCGGCAACCCCCCGACCCTGTGGGTTGAGCTATTGGTGGAGGAGATGGCGAAAGGGACGAGCATGGACGATGCCAAGTCCCGAGCCGACAAGGTTTTGGAGCTCTAGAGAATTGCACCTCGCGGGACAAGGGGGTAGCGTGGAGCTCTTCATCTCTCCCTGGAGATCGATCGAAAATGGCTGAACCTAGAGGATGGAGCAGAGCTTTGCGAGGAAAGAGTAAAGGTTTTGGTCTAAAAATGGCTACTAACCCGATTGATTTTCCAATTTTGTATTGTTAAGTGGGTTGCGGTTTGGTTCTGGGTCGGGTTGGGTTAATGGTTTGGTTGGGTGTATAACATGGCCGGTTTGGTGACGTGGCGTGTCGGATTTGACCATTTTTGGGACAAAACAACGTTGACTAGGCGCTCCTGTTAGCCACATCAACACATAACGGACTCCATTAACGGAGTTAAACGGAGACTAACGAAGAGTAACTAAATATGACCTATTTTAGTAATTAGAGTGACTAAATTTTATATTATTTTTTTAGTGACTTAATAATCACAGTGATAAATATAACATTAACCCGATTCTTATATCATGGTATAAATTAATTAATTCCAATAACTTTGAAGATATCACAGCATCCGTTCATGAGTATGTGATGATAATATAAAATAAAAAAAATTCAAACAAACACGTTGGAGTGGTAGTTGCCAATTATTGGAGGTCGATCGGATAGGTACATTAATTGAGCGATGAACAAGGGCCATAAAATAATAGGGGCAGCCACGTCCACCAACCTCAATCCGTTTCCAATTTCCATACAATGATAATATTCATATCGTTTGGTTGAAAATTCAAGTCGAGAAGTTTGTTCTTCAACTCCATTCAGTTTAGTTATCCGCTTGGGCAAGCACCTATATATGGTGCTCCATTACATGTGCCCATTCCAGGGAGTGGATTGAAGCCAATTTAGTCAAGTAAGCCTGTGGTCTTATGGACTAGTTGTTGGCAACTCATAAATGATAAGTGATGGCTGAGAGCATTGCACAAATTTTTTATATTATGAGAAACCGGGATTAGAAACCCAAATTTTATCATACAAAAGTCAATAACGAAAAAGTACGAAAAGAAAAGATGCTGAATGGGCTTTATCGGTAAAAGAATAGTTTAAAAAGCTGCTTTCTCTATAGACATGAGAGATCGCAACGATCCACCCGCGCTTGAAGAGAGAGCGAAACTTAAGAAACAAGGCTAAAATGCAAATTAGTAGGATCATCTACGACAGTGAGCTATGAGATAGAAGCCAACAACTTGTGAACTGCTTCAATCAATGATCAATTTCATATGGCTGATTTGAACATGAAATATAGTTTATGAGCTTATTGATCGAATTTCCACATTCAGTAAAGGAATACCTATCTAACAAATTCGAAATCTAGGATATAATTGTTGGTGATTACTTGAGCTGTGCATATTTTGTATGCATTTTTTTTTTTATCTCAATTCGTTACATGCTTTGGATGAAGGATACAATTAAGGATAAGATGAAGGAATTATCCATCTTTGCGAGGTTTTAAGGAGATTCTGATGAGATGAAACCTTTTTTGAGAGTTAACATAGGGGTAAATGGCAAGTTTGGTCACTTGAATTACTATAAAGTTTTACGTTTGGCACTAAAATTAGTTTATTCTATTCATGCTCGCTAAAATTAGTTCAACAGTTCAAGTATGGTCACTATCCGTTTAATTTTTGCAGATGTGGTAGTCAACTCTGATATTTGACCGTTAAATGTTTGACGTGACAATTAAAAAATTATAAAAAATAAAATTTAATCTTTTTATAATTTCCACTTAATTATCACAATAAATTAAAAAAAATAAATCATAAATATTATAATTATATAATTTCGGCTCCACTTCGCTTCAAGCGCAGCCACCATCCATTCGGCCGACAGGACGATATTCTGACGCAGGGTTCAGCCCTATAGATCTCAATTACCAGTTCTTGTAGTTTCAGCAGTTGATAGAACCTTTGAGCTGCAGAAACAAGGTTAGTATACTATTAAAGCGGACAACTTTCTCCTTCACCTCTTTGGGTAATTCTTTGATACCCATTTGTGGGGATGATTATTAGAGGGGACGCCAACAGGGTCTCCACCATCGTCGGAGAAAGAATATGTCCGTTGCTGCCGCGAATTATTATTATTAGGAGAGGATGCACCGCCGTCGCCGAAAAAGGCACCCGTCGCCGCGGGGTAGTTGATGATTTGGAACTGGTGGTCGCCGCTGCTAGGGTTTTCGTCCGCGGCCGTGGAGGAAGTTGGTGGAAGAGGGAGGGGAGGGCAGTGGCGGATCCAGGGCTGGGCCAACCCAGGCCCCGGCCCAGCCCTCCTCCGGATCCAGTGTTAGTTTAGTGTTTATAAAATTTTTCGATTTAGGTATTTGACCCAGTGCTATTTAAAATCATGTCTAGTTTTATTTGATAATAGAATTTTATGCAACTAGGAAAATAGTTCAGATGAACATATCCAAACCATTACTCTAAATTTATACTAACAGGTCGTTTGGCTGTGGTAATTGAGTGTGGGAATTAGGCCAAATTACCACATAATGTTGTATTCATGCTGAAATTCCATGTTTGGATAGCCTAAAAGTGTGTGGAAATTGGGCCCAAGGAATTTGGTCACATTCCCACGTATGTGGAAATTGGAAAACCGGCCCACCCCCCCTTGTATTTCACTTTCCCACGTTTATACAAATTTTGGTTCCATTTCTATCCCTGTTATTTTATTGGAAATCCAAACTTGCCCCTCTTGTCTTTTATACTCCACTTTACACGTTATCCTTCTTCCTCACCACATATCTTGCTCTTTTCTTTTTTTTTGTTCCAGAGGATTACCAAAGAAGGCGACAAGAAGGGCTCTCACCAACCAAGTCTAGTCTCCCAATAGCGCCAGCAAGCAGGAGTCGAGAGGAAACCATCACGCATCATCAGGTTCTTTCTCGTTATTGCTGGGTTCGTAGTTAAAATTAGGTGGTTCTGTTTTGGTAAATAATTAGGGTTCTGTATACCCTTTTCTCTTCAGCTGAAGGTATACAGAACTAGTCTGCTTAGGTTTGAGATAATTGATTTGTCTGGTCTGTTGATATGTTGGTGTTGGTTAGTTGATTGAATTTATTTTGTTATCATTATCAAGGATGTCGAGACTGTCCACACTGAATCCGACGCGTAGACGACAAGTGATTGCGGCTATTAGCTCATTCATGAACCTTCTTTTCATTTATGTCACTCTAGGAATGCAACTAGCCCAGCTTCTACAAGAAAGACACTCAAACCGTAGGCTTGTTAGCTCATTCACCTCACCATTTAGTTGCATAACAAGAGATCGGTTCTCTTCCTTCAGCGCAGCATGTTTAATTTCCAAATTTGCTAACAACTTACAGAGATACCCGTCCCTGTCGTGTTTGTCATGACCATCGCACCACTGAAACAAACCACATTCATCCTGAAATAATAGAAGCCATTCTTAGTTCCTCCTCACGCACACAACCAGTTCTGACCTAATTCAGGAAAACATGATTGAAAACAAGATTGAATTATGCTTTGTCATCTACCTTCAATAAAACCAATACTGACCTTTGATGGGAACAATGGGCAAGAGTAGAATTTGCGATTTGGGTTTGTTGGGGTGTGTGAAACCCGAACTGCTGCTCTGAACCCACAACCGCAGATCTTCTCCTTCCTTCTGTTTGTAGCTGCCATGAGATTAGCCTTCACTTTTCTATGAGGAAGCCTTTACTGTGAGAAGCTTTGAAAGAAGATGAACTTTATTAGGAGGGGAGAGGAAACCTTTACTGGGTAAATGACAGAAATATTGTTTATTTTTTTTAATTTACCACAAATATGGCCAATTAAAAACTATTTACAAAGATATTGTGGTTTTTAGTAAGGTTTGGGGCGGGACCACCTGAGACTCAGGCGGGACTAAATTTTTACCCAGTCCTGGGCGCCGGCGCCCCAGTCTCAAGCAGCCCCGCCTCAGACAAATTTTTTTAATTAGTCTGAGGCGCTGGCGCCCGAGACTCATGCGGGAGCGCCCCGGACTAATTTTTTTTAAATTTGGACGGGCCCTCCCACCTTATCCCCCTCCCACCTTATCCCCTCCCCACCACCACAATTCCTCCCTTCTTCTTCCTCCCCCCAACCCCGAACCAGACCCAACCTCCTCCTCCCTCCTTCTTCTTCCTCCACCCCAACCCCGAACAGCCGCCCGCCGCCCGCAGCACCGCCCCAGACTTAGGCGCCGCCGCCGCACACTCGGGCGCCGCCGCCGCAGAGAGGAGCGCCGCCGCTGCAGACAGGAGCGCCGCCGCCTTGGACTGAACCGCCGCCGCCCGAGATGTCATCCGACGAAGAACCAGTCGCCGCCGGCAGAGGCAGAGGTCGGCGAGGTCGTGGTGGAGTTGGCGGCCGTTTGCGCGGTGAGACTCTCGTCGGCAACTTGATTTTTTTTTAATGTTTTGTGTTTTTTTTAATGTTTTGTTGCTTTGGTTTTGCAGTTCCGAGGCTTATGGATCCTTATTCGATGAGATTACCGCCGGCGACAATTGATTCAAGTCCGGTCGATCCGACACTTCTTTGGGGACACGGCCAACATCGTATCGACTCTGTTTGGACAAACGAGGTAAGTATTTGATAATTATTCATGTAAAGTTAATTAGCTAATTAGATTATTTTAGGTAGTGAACTGAACTGTTAGGTGAAATTAGTATAATTTTATGTTAGATAAGACAGATTAGAATTTATTAGGTGAAATTAGAATTATTACGAATGAAAATGAATTAATATAAGTTTTGTGCACTATAGGCTGGTGATCGACCGTACCATGTTCGAGGTACGACCATTTTAGTACCTTACCATGAATTTTATCGGCCATATCTCGAAGCGGCAGACTTGTTTAGTGTCGTGCCCCTAGTCCCTATGAACCCCGATGCTAGTTTGATTACTGCGCTCGTAGAGCGGTGGCGCCCCGAGACGTCGACCTTCCATCTACCGTGTGGTGAGATGACGATCACGTTAGAGGACGTTGTTACACTGTCCGGTCTGGCGATCGACGGTGATGCCGTCGTAGTTGATATACCGGATGAGGAGTGGTCGGCGATCTGTTTGAGACTGTTGGGACGAGTTCCGGCCGATCTTGTAGGCAGTGTCGCTGTTGTTAGGATTGTTTGGCTGAGGGTTGAATTCAGTCATCTGCCGGAGAATGCATCACAGGAGGTTATAGAGCAGTTTGCAAGAGCTTATGCTCTATCTCTGCTTGGAAGTGTACTTTTCTCGGATCGGTCTGGAAGTACGGTGCACCTACAGTACCTACTTCTGATTGAGGATTGGGAGAGAGTTGGACGGTTTGCCTGGGGAGCTGCTGTTTTATCTTACCTGTACCGTGAGATGGGTAGGTCGACTTTGCACATTACGCATACCGGCACTTCTCTTAGCGGTGACCTTGGTGGATGGGTCGCCCTACTGCAGTTTTGGGCGTGGGAGCGATTCACACATCTGGCACCTCGAGACGAGGAGACGAGGGCACAGGCCACCGAGGATGCATTCCCACGTGGTCTTCGATGGCTTTCGGCCAACAGTCGTCAGTATGGTGACCAGCTATTCCAGTACAAGCTGTGGTTTGACGCGATGGACACCGTGGTGGTTAGTATATAACATTTCATTTTATATAATAGTTTTCATTTGTTTTATTTTTTTAGATTTAGGGATAATAACGTTAATTTTTGGATTTAATGTAGTGGCAACCTTACTTTGAGAGAGCACTTCATCTCAGAGGTAGTGTGCTACAGTCTGAGACATTTCGAGCAGTAGTGCCACTTATCTGCTTTTCATCGGTGATGTGGCATCATCCAGACCGCGTGCTCCGGCAGTTTGGCATGAGACAGCATAAGCCTCATCAGCCACATTCTGAGGCTGAGGTTAGGTTTTTTCTTCGCCAGGCTACTCGTGGGCCATCGCGTGGGCAGCAGTTGGTACACGCCTCCAGAGAGTCGATTGCTTTCTGGAACCGTCGACACGAGTTTGTAGCGACGGCTCCATATACTGATGAGGAGTTAGCCTACCACTCGGAGCATATGGAGTGGTATAGAGATGTCACCAGACGATCCGGCACACGGAGAGGAGCTGCAGCAGAGGCGTTGGTTAGTTATTTGATTTATTTGCTTAATTTGTTGTTAATTGTGTGAAATATCTGACATTTTTGTTGGTGTTTTTTAGTACGACACTATCGAGCATGCTGAGGTGAGTTTGCGTGACGGTGTACGGTCTGGAGGGCTGACCCCCGACCAGTGTGAGGACTTGGCCAACTTTATGGCATCCGGGGTTGCTGCTCTAGGGTTTGAGGATCGTAGATACCCTGATCTGACAGTACCTGTACAACGCCATTATGAGGGGTCCGTCATGACTGCCTGGCCAGAGCGTACTGATCCGACACCGGGCTGGGTCGTCCCAGAGCCACAGTTCAGACAGGAGCATAGGCCACGTAGACAGCGACGTGAGCATCGTGATGCACCCAACCCATTTCGGGTTTCCGATCGACAGCGAGCACAGCCCATTCGGCCTACATCGAGGAGCTTCCAGTTTAATCCGCCTCGGACGCAGTTTCAGTCAGATCCTTCCTCGAGCTTTCAGCCACCGCGACGACACGAGTTTCAGTCAGATCCGTCTTCGAGCTTTCAGCCGCCGCGACGACAGCAGTTTCAGTCAGATCCGTCATCGAGCTTCTATCAGCCAGAGGATAGCTTCCATACACCGCAGCATGCTACGATGGGATCAGGTGGTGATACTAGAGCAGCGACGACTCCCGACCTGTGGCAAGAGGGTGATGAGGTGTTTAGGGAGACGATGTGGATCCATGAGCAGCATCTTTAGTCTCAGCGTAGTGGTGGCGGTCAGCCTGATGAGCATCTTCAGTCTCAGCAGGATGAGATGTTCGGTACACAAGATCAGGATGGTGGAGTTGAGGAAGATGAGCCCCAGGAGTATGATGGTAGACCTGTGCGCATCAGGGTGCCTGCTAGGTGTGGTACTGGCGGCCATCTAGCGGTGGAGCATGGTGGTCGTCGTGGTGGTCGTCGTGGTGATCGTCAGTGAGACTATTATTATTATGTACTTCCTTCAGACGTTTATTTTTGGATTGTTATTATTATGTACTTCCTTCAGACTATTATTTTTGGATTGTTATTATGTACTTCATTTAGACTATTATTTTTGGATTGTTATTATTATGTACTTCATTTAGACTATTATTTTTGGATTGTTATTATTATGTACTTCATTTAGACTATTATTTTTGGATTGTTATTATTATGTACTATAAACAAACAACAACATCTCAAACAACAACATCTCAAACAAACAACATCTCAAACAAACAACTTTTACATGGTAAATCAAAAGATAACAACAACATACCAAACAACAACATCTCAAACAAACAACAACTTTTACATGGTAAATCAAAAGAAATATAACAACTTCTACCACCTCTCAGCCACGTCTATTACCTCTACTTCCTCTTCTACCACCTCTCGTACTTCGTTGGCCACCACTCCCTCCTCGGTTGCTCCCACTCCTACTAGCTTGGCCACTGCAAGTTGATGCATTATGTCCCGCTTGGTTACAGTTGCTGCACACTTGGTGTGATGCACCCTCCCTTGGCCAGTCCATCTCGTTGTGGATCCTTGTAACTCGTGGCCTCCCCGGCTTCCTAATCATGTGCACATTAGGATGGAGAATAGGACCATTATGTTTCTTCCAACCCTTAGGTTCACCAAGAGGTGCGAAACTTGTCCCATAACAAGCCATCACTGTTTCCAGCTTGTACACATTGTTGACAAACCTATACGCATTAGCCCCCATTCGGTTGCAAGCTGCAATGGCATGAGAGCAAGGAATTTTATTTCCTTGAAATTTACCACAAGTGCAAAATCCTGCCCGGTTTTGATCGTCAAAGTGAACTGTGAGTGTGTTTGACCCTGTCATGTTGAAATTGTTGGGAGGAGTCTGAACTACATAGATGCCTTGACCTCGATCAAGAGCTGTCACAGAATGTCCAATTGCCTTTTGTGACCTGTACTTCATCAGCTCTTCGCACTTGGTGGAGTACTGTGAACCGCCACTTCTAATTTCTGCTCCTGTCTCCAACCTATACATATCGAATTTCTCCACCAATCGCCAATAGGTATGCTGCACAAGAGAAGCTATCGGAAGTGCACGAATACCTTTGAAAATACCATTGACGCTTTCTGCCATGTTGGATGTCAGGATAGACCAACGACCCCCACCATTGTAGTTATCATGTGCTAAACTCCAACGAATCTGATGTTGATCCACCCAGTTATCACATGAAATATTTCTATCAGCGGCCACCTTCTTAAATTGCTCAACTTGACGATCAAACTTCTCCAACCGTTTTTCTCCGGCTAACAAAATAAACCACAACACGTGTTAGATAAATTCATGACAAAATTACATGAAAACAAATAACAAAATTAAATGAAGAAAGCTTACCGACTTGAAATAGTTGATTATACATAATTTTGCTTCGAGTCTTCCTTTGCAAATTGCTTGCATAGTGTCGCATGCACCACCTCCACTCCCAACCTCTTCCGATGTTATTCATGGCTTCATAGAGTCCTGCATGTCTATCTGAGATGATGCATACATCATTTCGATCAGTCAAACCCTGAACCTTCCTCATGAACCATGGCCAACTCTCAGTATTCTCCCTCTCCACTATGGCAAATGCAATTGGAAAAATCTTCCTCCGGCCATCAAATGAGCTCGCCATGTGTAGCACTCCTTTATACTTCCCAGTAAGAAATGTTCCATCCACAACCATGACGCCTGGACAATTCTTGAATCCATCTATACAAGGTCCATAAGCCCAGAATACTCGCTGAAATATTAAATGACCGGGTTGAGTCGAAGGAACTGTTACCCAATCAATCACCGATGTTGGCATTTTTCTCTTGACCACCCGCAAGAATGTTTGCAAAAAATCGTAGGATTCTTCCCAATTTCCATGCAACTTCTCCAATGCTCTTTGTTTCCCATACCAAGCCTTCTTGTAAGTAACTTGCATATTAAACTTATCTTTCAACTCGGCTTGAACAGTTAGAACACTCAGATTTGGTTGGGCACGTACCAAATGTTTGACGGCCTCAGATATCATGTCGACATCAAGATGGCGATGATCCGTCGGTTGAGTCGTACTGCTACAAGAATGCACCAACTCAGCTTTTCTCACAGTCCATTCGCCCCCAACATCTCGACATCCAAACCGCACCATCCAAGGACAATTGTCATCCTTGTGCCTCAAGCATCTGACCTTCCATATTGAAGGTGACGACTCCACCACGCCATATTGAAAGTTGCGTTGTAGTGCGTGGTGTTTAATCGCCATCTGTGCAGCTTGTTTCGAGTGAAATATCTGCCCCTTGTAGAATTCTCCTTCAAAACTATCAACAATAGGCATTGGAATTACGCCATATGAATCAGCAAGTGCAAATTCTTCGTCCTCTTCATTGCCCTGCAAGTAAAAATATGGAGGATAATTAAGCTGCTCTCCTTCCTCCTCCTCCTCCTCTTCCTCCTCTCCGTCATCACCGTGATCATAGTCATGATCGGATGGCACGCTCCATGTATCATCTTCTTCCTCTCCACCCTGATCATCACTGAGCTCAACATGTATCTCAGCACCCAAACAATAAGGATTTTGTGCCATAAAATTCCAAAGCACATCCAAGCTATCATCATCCACAATAGGTAACGCATAATGAAATAAAACATCATTCTGCCATTCTGGAAGACGGTAAGTGAAACCTGTGATCACATCACTATCTTTTACTGCTTCGTCTCTGCGCCGTATTCTCGGAATTAGAGTCTCACAAAGTTTGTGATATGTGACTCTGGATGGAACCGTCAACTGAAAACTACTACCACCAACGAATTTGACGCCCAAATTATCCTCTACTTTCTCCGATTTCCACCGAACAACTAGTTCAAATCTTCTAAAATCACTACAAAAAAACAAACTCACTAATTAAAAACTAAACACAATCATAATAGCATTTGAATAATATAATTACAAAAATAAATGTGTCTCTTACCTATTAGCCATTTTTGCAGCAGCAACCAGAGCTCTCTCCTCTATTTTGGACGATTTTTTTTGTGGTGTGAATCTGAAACGAAAAGTCTGTCTGGGTTTTATAGGGTGGGTGGCCAATCCACCTACTCGCCTCAGTCTCGGGCGCCACCGTCGGAGTCTTGATTTCCCACCTACTCGCTTCAGTCTCGGGCGCCGCCGCCTGAGTCTCGGGCGCCACCGCCTGAGTCTAATAAAACGGTCCAAAAACCAAGTCTTAAGCGGCAGCGCCTGAGTCTCAGGTGTACCCGCCGATTCTTATGTCTAAAACACAATATCTTTGTCAATAGTTTTTAATTGGTCATATTCGTGGTAAATTAAAAAAAAACAATATTTCTGTCATTGTCCCACCTTTACTCTGGCTGAAATTGGGAAGGTTGTTCGCTGTTGGGGAAAGAAGAAGAAGCCGCAATAATGGACACAAGAGGTACCTAATATATCCTTCCACAAGGGGCAGTTTGGTATTTGTTTGTTTAGCACCACAAAAACCACTTCCACATTCCCACACTCAAAAGACCTAGCCAAACATGGAAATGTTAACAATCTCCAAGTGATAATTACTGGAAATTGAAAATCATGGAAATTTACTCTAATTTCCACGTTTTTCAATTACCACAGCCAAACAACCTCTTAAATTTTCTACAGCCCCAATGATTTTATTTGAAAAAAGATATGAAAACCGAAAAGTGTAAAGTTTCATTAAAATAAAATAAAAAACTATAAACTAAAGCATACTCTTCCTTGCAAAATTCAAAAAAATTTCCCAATCCCCCCAAAACAAAACAAGAACGAGGAGACGAGCAGACCCAAAGTGGATTTCTCCGCCAGCCCGTCGAGTTGGTTTTCTTTCCATTCTTTTGATTAAGAAAATATTTACAAACTTATTGAGTTATCATTTAGATTGCCTCAATTGAGTGGGGCACTAGATTCTAACTGTTCTTTCTGGTGTTGTGATGAAGAAAATATTTACAAACTTGCTCAAGAGTTTAGCCTCGAGACTTTGAAGGCTATGAGATGCATTCTTTGGAGAATGCACTACTCATGTGAGGAAGATGAAGTTTCTTCTCTTATTATATTACTAGAGAAGCTGGAGGAAACATGGATGGACACACAATACAAATTGATTTGTCGGTTGATTTGTCTAGTGTTGATCTAGCTGTTTCAACAACTACCATGGAAAGAATATTTTCAACAATGGAACATGAACATTGATTTGTGCAACAAAATGAGCGATGAATTTCTCATTGATTACTTAGCTATTTTCTTTGAAAAGAGTATATTATCAGTATGGATGGAGATTATATTATTGTTAAATTTGCTAAATTAAAAGACATCCTTATACAATTGGAATTGTAATGAAAATTATATTATTATATATTTTTGTTTATGGTATTTAATATTCTATTCAAATGCGGCCCAGTGCTCTCTTATGTTCTGGATCCGCCGCTGGGGAGGGTTGCTGCCGCTGCTAATGGATGAGTGGCGCTTGTTCTTCGTGCAGCCGCCGCCACCGGAGACGTTGCGGAGGGTGCCGTCGCGGGTCTAATAGCGCTTGCAGGCTTTGTAGAAGTGGCGGGAATAAGAAGCGTTTGACATAATCCCCCCAACCCCAAATGCTATTCTTCTGCGGTAGTAGTGGCCATCACGTTCTTCCTGTAAGCTAAGACCTCGCGATCAACGCAGTCCCACCACTTGTCGCGCACACCCCATATCATCAGTTCGTTTCATCAATAAATCACAAGAAACAAGATTAGATTGATCGAATTCAGAGGGAGACTGCTTCTTATTCTCGCCGAGTTGGCTCAGAAGAAAAGCGGGTTGGACTCGAGCATCCCGAGTCGCAGATGTGGATTCGGAGAAGGCGGTGGCGCTCCCGCGATCTGCAGAGGAGAGTAGAGCGGAAATTATAATATTTATGTTTTATTTATTTTTAAAATATATTGTGATAATGAAGTGAAAATTATAAAAAGATTAAATTTTATTAGT